CAACCACAACAGCAGCTACGCACGTAGAAAGTGAATTAGTCGTTTTAATGAGAGAACAAGTAAAAGTTAACGTTCTTCAAAACTGCCGACTAGTCTTGTTCCTTCATTAACGATATGTGGTCGTGTATATTATGTTTGTTGTTACGTTTGTTGTCCGTCTATGCCGTGCTCTCATGCCATAAACTATCCGTGTCCCGTATCTCATGTCCATTTGTCTGTGGTTTTGAGTGCTGCGGCACTTACTTGTCACGTTTCAGGCATTTGCATAAAGAACCGACGGTGGAATTTTATAGCGTGGGGTTAGCCGCATGATCACCACCAATCTGCAACCAGCGACCCACCCCACCTCAACCCACCGCTTCGCACACGAGGCTTCAGTTGCGCCGTTTAGATGAATGGGTTTGCAGATACATTTGCACGAGTTCAAATCGATTGTTGTCTGCATGTGTGTGTTTTTACATCATTTATTTTTGCACCTGATTGCAATTTAATGTAATGACGACATCGGGCACACTGGTCAGCAGTCGCACAATGCTTGATTTAAGTTTGAGCAGCTGTTTAAGCCATTGTTAAGAATACACAAATTATTAATAACCAATTAATATTCCATATTGCAGCAGACAATGTCGTTATTGTCAGTTCATTTAAAACTAGAGTGGAGTGTACAAGCTCTTTCGTTAAAGTATCCGATAGGCAGGTGATTTTATAGGAATGGGGATAAATTGATAGTTAAATTGAAAATTTAAAATTCTGGGTTCTTAATATTATTGTATTATTGTTGTATAAATTAATTTTCTCTTAAGCAAAAATATAATATTTTTATAATATTTGGGCACTAGAATTAGAATACTCGCATTTTAAAGTGGTTAAATTCTATTAAATGGGAAATTTATATTTATATAGACGGATACTCCCAGGAAATCCCCAATACAGCATCTAAACCTGCTTCTTTAATATATTGGATAACATATTATTATTTCAAAATTAATTGCGCGGGGTCATTGTATGATAACTAAGCTATTGCAGCAGGTTTTAGTTATACGCCATACTACAGTTAGTTATTACTAAAAGTACATATTTCCCCCCAGTGTGCTTAGGTGGCAGACAGACCGGCCCAGAAATGTTTGCTTATTTTATTATTGTAGATAAATTAATATATTTAGACATTTTAGCGGCCGCTATTGGCCTGAGGCACGAGAGTAACCTTTCGAAGTTAACCTTGCTTGTTGCAACCTCTAGCCGCCACCTGATATAGATCAGTAGGAGTGGAAATTAATTGAAAACTCTTGGAGGCACAAAGAAGGCAAATCTGTTGAAGTGGGTTATATTTATTTCTATATAATCGCGTTTGAGAACCCAGCCAGCATTCAGTGATGTGGTCAAACTGGAACAAAATTGTTAAGATATTTGGGGATTCAACAAACGTGTTTGTGTATTAAGAGATGATAAAAAAATTAATTCTTACACAAGTATTGAAATGAGTTTTGTGCTATATTAAGATCGTATAAAGTCACTCAACCTGATCATCAGCAAAATAAATAACAATTGGGTAAAAGAGTGTCTTGAAACAACAATTAATTAACCACGTAACCACAAATATTGACACAATTTCTTCTTATCACAGGTATCACTTATCAGCATGCTTTTGGCGGAAAACAACATAAACAGAACCAAGTCATGATTTTTATGAGTCTATTGGCAGAACAACAATGTGGCTCATTTCAGTTAGAACTTTGTGGGGCTTGCTCATATGTCGCTGTTTAAGCGTTTCAAATGCAACCACGCCGACTGGCAATGCAATTTGGTAACTTATACAGCCACACTAAGGTCTTGCCTCTGGCGATCACTCACCTGAAACACATAGACGAATATGTGGAACGTACAAATGGCCTGGTGGATAGAAAGAATGGCACACCACATGCACTGCCAGCGGCTTGCCGAGCCCAACAGCCCTTGCAGTGTCTTCATTTGGAGTTGCTCCAACTGGTCGTCGCTGATGGGCGTGGCCAGCAGCATTGGCGACAATTCGCCCGTATTTGCTTCAACTGTTTGCATACTGAGCGTTCAATTTGAATTGGTTTTGAAAAAGTCAACCGACAGCGGCTTCTGACGCCAATCAACTGATTTAGAATGTTTGCGAAAATTAAGATTTCAGTTAATGAACGAACACATATGCAAAATTCGATTTTTGTGCGTATTTTATGATTTACATGTGTATTTTCTGAGAGTTTCGGCCATATAGCGGACCTCAAGCGCGCACTTTACTATTACAACTGAGTCGTTAGACAGGCAGGTGTTAAAAACGAAGTGGAAGTCACAGTTGCACAGGTGCGCCAACACACAAGATTTTCAAAGGGGCATTAAGATAAAGTTCAACAAGCCGGAATGACAATCGAAAGAGCTGCGCTTAACTGATCAGTAAAAGTTATGCATAAATTAACCCAGCTGAGTGTGGAATTTAGATCATTGATCTGAAAACCGTTGAGAGGAAAGAGAGAGAGAGAGAGAGAGAGAGAGAGGGGGAGAGAGAGAGAGAGAGAGAGAGAGAGGGGGAGAGAGAGAGAGAGTTGGAATTTTCAGCAGTCAATTCGTATTATTATTGTTCAAAGTCTTAAAAACCAAAATATTTTTCAGTAACATTCAGTAATATGTCTGTGCGGCCTCATAAAAATTTCGAATGGAAGCTGTGTTATCTTAGGCCTGACTCATATATTATACACGATGCTTTGATATGATTTCAGATGTGCACTTTAAAGGATAGGCAGGCTCAGGTAAATATATACGAACATACCCAAAATCACGCCGCTCCCAAAATTCCTTTAACATATAAGGTCACGTTGGGATAGTGTAATAAATCATTTAGAAGGGCGGGTGGTAACAGGACATTGTGCAAATGTGTACACTTTTTTTTTTTGCCCAACATAATTTCCGAGCCCGTTTTCTTATCGACAACTTCCACTGTTTCATTCGAAAAAAGTAAAAATTTTCTGAATTTGTAGAATAAACATACATATGTATATGTACTTGTAATATTTACTGCATGATTGCAAATTTTTAATTCTTGCATCATATGCAACCAATTATAATTTGGTCAAGCTTGACTTATAATTGGTAGTTAGATAACCATATTACTATATAATATGCTGTTACATAAGAATGGCCCATTGATATGGGGTTGTAATCATGCAATTATCGACTGGTAAATAGCCATACTAAGGTATCTCTTAAGTTCTTGACTTCTTGATGCTGCAATTTTCTTTCTTATTTAGTATGCCATATGATAAACCGTCTGTGTCAAGGTACTCTGTGGTTTTTTTTTGTTTTTTTGGTTACCCTCCCAATTGCACATTAGCACGCTAGATGATTATCGTGATTAACATACGCTGAATCGAACAAACGAAGTGCTTGCAATTGACTAGCACGCAAGACAATCAAAGTATCTGACAGATACGCGCAGTGACAAATGATCGCAGATCTCAAATTCTGAGGCCCATTTTGTGCGTGTGGAATACGCTCCCAATGCAAATTGCTTGAAGGTCGCTCATGAGTGGGTTTCACGCGACATTGTTAATGCCTGAAATATTGGCAAATTAGTGATATATAAGAGGCTTTTGATTATTACTCGCACTCTCATTCAACACTTTTTGAATTCGACGAATTGTCGACGGAGCAAAAGCAACAATAGGAATAATGCCAAGTGCTGGCTGGCTTGTCAGTTAAAATCCTCAGGGCTTTCTTGTTATCACATTTTTTAAAGCAAGATTACCGACTGCGATATGTTGATTATATGGTGTGCTTATATTGTTTATTTACTCTATTAACAGTTTAACATATTGGAGTGACGAATGACAAACACTCCAGGCCTTACATTTTGATAGTATCTTAATAACACCAATTTGAATGTTTCTATAAATATAGCCCGGCCATTTGACCCACATGCATCTATTTTATATGAATTCGCGCTAATTTTTATGTAAATGTAAATCAGATAGATTTAATCATATATTATTAGATCATTAAATCGACAAATAAAGCAAACAAATCGACTTCCACCAATTGGTCGATTCAAATAAATCTTTCTCTCTTTATCACAAAACACAAATCACCCTATCAAGCAATTATTAAAACTGTGGCATGGCCAAATTGCGCTCGATCTGTTTTAGTTCACAAAACGCAACACAACACAACAAAAAAACAGTACAAAATTTGGATTTGAAAGTGCGACGCAATCAAGTGTGCAAATATTTGCCAATCCATAAGCTGAAACTCACCTGAAACACAAACATAAACAAATGAAATGTGGTGGGTATCTGGAACAAGCACAATAGAAATGTCCACATGAAGCTCCATTTACGATAATGACCCAAGAAATTTGATAAAACATCGCTATCCACGTCCTGGCTAAGATCCTTGACGGTGCTAGGCGTGGATGCAGACATAGCCACGAGGCCAACCTTCTTCAGGTCATCCGAATGGCGACGAAAGTCCATGGCAATTACACTTATTTCCGGTGTGCCTGGCACTGGCTTTGTTTCGCGGTAGCCGCCATAAAGGTTCGAATCAAGGCTGCCCCGCGAGCTGCCGCCAGTGCAATCGAAATTCAGGGAACCGCGTCGCAGCACGCCACTCATATCGCAAAAGAGGAATATAAAACAAGAGCACAACAATTAAATGTAAAACACTTAGTAAAAATATGTGTCGCTTTTGTATTTATTTGCTGATCGATTGTATTGCTCCGAGTCGCGCGGTTGATTGTTTGCTTTGCTTTTGGCGACGATCTAAATCCGTTAAAAGTTCGGCGAAGCTATTATAAATGGCAAAAAGCTCGAAAGCTCTATGCAGCGGCGTTGCCAGCTGCAATAAGCATAAAAACTCAAACGCTAAACTTCGCCTAAGTCAACGACTTGAAAGTTGTCGTAGGTTGCGAAGCTTTCGCTGTAGCTTTGAGGCCTAGAGTTAAAAAGAGGTTGAGATATTCTATTCCACATATTTATTAATTATTTGTAAGCATATTTGTATTGACACTAATTGATTTACGTTGCTTTGTTAATTTTGATTTAAAACAATTTCATAAATACGCCATTGTTAACATTTATTTCCCAAGTTCCAGTTGCACATTGAGCATTTAACATGAGCTTTAAAACACGATTTAGATTGGGTGCACTTCCCCTAGATGGAATATTAAAGAGTTTTCATACATTCTTGCATTTTTATCAAGATTTGAACATAACTGGATAACACTTGCTATATCATAGTTTAACATTAAACATTCATCTTTCATATCTCATCTGCATATACGTATTTTTTTTTATGTATATTCTTGTACATATTCTTTATTCTCATCCTTAACATACATGGCGAATTTGTTTTTGAATTTTCTTTAATTTACAAATTGCGTATTTAAATAACCAGTGTTGGCACTAATAAGCATATCTATACAACATAAATTTATACTTAACTCGTAAGTACAATACAAATAAAACATAAAGAAAAATAAAAGCTTACAATTAAGAACATTATTATCATATATGTAAGTACAACAAGCATTTTGACGGTTTTTCATAAAGCAGCAATTTAGTAATCCTATTAATTTTTTGTTTATTTATTATATTTTTTTTTTACCTGCTTACACGCTTTTTGATCATGTAAACTAACTTGTTTTATTATTCTGAACTGGATACATTCATTTATTTAAATGCATTTTTGTGGGAAATGTTTGTAAATTATTGTTGATGACATTTCGTTACGACCAAATAACATGAACAGATTCTAATATGAGATGAGTTAAAACAACAAGCATTGGCTGCTCTCAATTGGTATGTATGTATGTGTTTATATACAGATACAAATACATATACATATATAGCTAATATGTATGTGTGCATAATTGACCGATATTTATTTTGTGTACATTTTATTCTAGTGATTAATTGACTACATTTACCAGAGATTACAGTTTTCACTTCAATTTAATAATTTTTTATGTTTATATTTTTTATAAAACATTTAGTAATAGACGGCAATAACAACGAGATTATGTATACGTTGACATATTGACAAGACATATCGACAAGAATTTTTGAGTTGTTTATATATATTGACTGTTGTGCATTGCACTGCTGATGGAGTAAATAATTTAGCAATACTACATACACTTTTTTTTTTTAATATTCATTTCTAGTTATTCGGTTGGCCTACCAAAATCTCACAAAAATTGTTTTGGGCAGAAGATAATGGCGATATTATCAAAGACTTAAAAGATTTCATAACAACTTTATTAATTAACTTTATATGTTATTCAAAGGCTTAAAAGTAGATACGAGAGTGAGAAAAGTTTAACTGTTGCGTAATTTGAGTAATTTGCTCATCATATTGCCTCTTGTACTATATTAATGTGAAATTTATTATCTTCGATGTTACCGAAGCTATTAACCTACTCCGAATTGTGACATTTTTAACAATATGTATTCTTCTGTACTTACCCTATTATAAGCTAAAAGCCATTGTTACTTTCTGAGTGCTTTTTTTTTGATTTTGTGTACTTATTTTTTTCAAATACTCGCTACTTGCTACGCGAATAAGGTCCTGCCTGACTTTTTAAATTATGGCATTTAATGGACATTCGATAAATTGCGCTATTTACTTGAGTTCCCGGTTGTAGGAAGGTGGCGGTGGCTGCGGCGGTGGATATGTCAAATCAGGGCTGGGCAACGATTATTGTTGGTATTGCTAGATTGTTAGTAGTTTTCTGGTAGCCTGTGTGCTCGTTTACATACTTTGGACCAGCCAAAATATTTCCTAGGTGACAGGGGGGAGTAGAGGGGGCAGGCAAATTATGACGGCGTCTCTATAATTTATTACACCTGTTTTGCTGCGTTCTGGCGTCTGGTTGCGGTTGATGCATTTTTTCGCACCGCCGTCTCCGGTAAGAAGAGCACCACGAAGCCACCAAAGATGCTCCAGGCGGTTAGCAGTGACATCAACAGGTGGCCCTCGATTTTGTTCTGTGCAATAGAGTAGTACAATATTATGAATATTATGAATGTGCTGTGTGAATTAGCTAATTTTCATTTCGTACCAAAAGCGATAAGTAGGGCGTTAATATTAGCGCCAATCCGGCAGCCACATTGCAGGCGCCCACGCCCACATTGCGTATGGCTGTTGGATATAGTTCCGCAGTATAAACGGGCATAATAGTGTTGCCGGCGCTGATCGTAAACTTGCCCATCATCAGGAATGTGATCTTCAGCCAGAGCATATCCTCGCGCCCCTCGGTGATCGCAGCACAGCAGCAAGCGACCCCGGCACAGAGCAAGGTGGCGCAGAAGAGCCACTTCTTGCCCACCTTGGTGATAATGTACATGGCCACCGCAATGGCAGGTATTTCGACTAGGCCAGCTAGCGCCTGCAAGAGAAGTCGAAAGATAGACAGATACATCACATGAGAAACATTGCTCCCGGATGTCGGCGGGCCACACTAAATCAAGGCGGCATCAAAGGTGCGCCATGCCATGTCAAAATAAATTATGCAATAAATTTCCTCCAAAAAATAAAAGAGACACGCTTTGGCCATTGTTTTGCTGGGAGTGATGCGCATATAGCTGGATTTATGCAAAATTAGCTAGTTAATCAATTTATATTAAGGCTAGTAAAATGTTAATATAACAAAAGAGCGAGTAGAAGCTATAAATCATAAAGTTATTATATCTACATCTATTCAGGATTCGGGATCTTTTCTTTATAATAAGATGAACAACAGTCTTAGCAATAAATCCTAAAGCTCCTGTAACTTATGCGTCTTCGTTTTTTTTTTTTTTTTAAGTAAATATTTAATAAACATAACATTAAACTTAATATCATAAGTTAGTTTTGCTTTTATTTTATATTATTTTATAGAGTATACGAAATAATAATTATTTTATTCCGCAAACAGCAGACAGATAAAAAAAAGTATAGTTTCAGTTAAAAAAAAAAACTTTTTCATGCAGCATTTGCCATTGGCATTTAGCCAAATTCCGCAAATGATTCTGTACAGCTGGTCAGGGGAAGAGCGGGGAAACCAACGGAGAAGCCGCGGCAGCATTTATTTAGAGCCCTTGTAGGCAACATCATAATTCGATACTAAAAACATTTGCCTGTCCTTTTGACCGAATGTCTGCCTTGGACATGGCGCATAGAAAGAATGACAGATCCAATTAACGGACAGATCTCGACTGGGCGGGCACTTAGCACTTGTTAAATGTTAAATGTTTACGCAGCGCACTTGTCACTCAAAGATTGAGACATGATGTTTGATGGAAACAAGTTAAATTAAGTTAGTTACAGAGGAAGTTTCCGGGATGGGGCAGATTTCTACTGCGCTCAAATTAAGTGAAATTGGCGGCGCCTCGACGCGTAAATACGCACTAAGTGCTAATGTAAATTGCTTACTTACCGAATTCAAGTAGACATTTCCACCGAACGAGCTCATATTCAAGATAATGCCGTAGTATACCAGGTTCATGGTAAACCAAATGCACAAAAAACAGATGGAGATGCGCCTCAAGTAGCTTGACCGAAACAAATACGTAAAGTCCTGCGAGCTGCTCTCCTGCGTGGGTGGCGTCAGCTGATAATCCGGGGGCAGCTGGCGTCCATTGAAAACGGCCGCCGCCTCAATGATGCGTCTGACTTCCTCAACGCGACCCTTGACCAGCAGCCAGCGCGGAGATTCCGGCACCACAAACCTGCAAAAAAGAGAGCACGACATAGTTTCAGTCTTTATCCCACAGTCATAAATAAGACACCTCCTCGTCTGGCCGGAGGCGTCTTATGTTTATAATTGGGACTCCCACGCGCGGTCGGTTCTTTATATGCCATTCATTGCTCAGCCGACTCAATGATCTATACACATGCATACAAAATATTTTGATGTATGTATATGTAAACACACATGATATTTTATTGGCAATTTACACTTTTCACGCACCACGAGGAGCGTCTTTATTTTGTTTACCTTTACGAGAACCTTTTGATCCAGCTGAAATATTTTGAATTTAATTGACCTTACCAGAGAAAACAGAGGAAAATGCCCGGAACACCAATGCACAGCTGCAGACGTTGATAGTCTTGCGTCAAATAGGCGAGCCCAGAGATAATCATATACGAGATTGGCAGTGGGAACAGATTGTACATGCCGGCTATGGTGCGCCACTTGCCATCCACATACTCGATGGCCAATATGAGGCCGGAGTAGGTGACCGAGACGGAGACGAGCCCCAATAGAGCACGCAACGTTAAATATAGCTCAAAGGAACTGCAGAAATACAGCCAAAGACCTGTCGGTGGGAGATATATAATATATATATGATTAAAGAATATCAATGAGAATCATCATGAATGAAACTTGATGCATATTATTTCATACTGATAAATGTAAAATAATATTCTTTTCAAAAAGATATAAAATATTCACATTTATCAAATCAAATCTCATGTGTTATATTTTGTAATTTATTTTTAAGACAATAAAATTAAAGTTACAATTTGAATGTATACTTTAAATTGTATTCGCTGCAATTTTGTAGTCTTCTAATAGACTGATTTTCATTGTCTATTTATTAAATATAAGGAATCGAAGCTATTAGAATCAGGGTGACACAGGGCTTAAGCCGATCTGGTTTTAGCCCAAAAGTATTCTGGCGAGTGAAGTATTCTGAAAACTATATATTTTTTTTAATTGTTTAATTTACAAATAAAAGCATTTGCTTGTATGCCAAAATCATATAAGCTTCCGTCGATTAAAAATAGTTCGCAACAGGTAAGTGCATAAAATTAAAAAAATAAAAAATATCGGACTTAGAAATTTCTCGACTATCTACAAAAGGGCACACAGCACGTTGCGAGGCTGTACGTGTCTAGTTGCCCCGTGCACATCCCTTAATAGTAATGTCCTTTTGTATGCAAGTTCCAATTACATTGAACGTGATTTAATCAACAAGGACAACAAGGCAGGCAAATGCAGCAGCAGCTGCGCCAGCAGCCACATCCACTGATGCATTGCCAACTCAACGATGACCCCGCCCACCAATGCCAAGTTCAAAGTCAAAAGGGGACACTGGCGGCATTTGTCAATGCCACTTCCGTGTATATGTGCATGGAGAGCTGGCAGTAAAGGTCACTGCAGCATGATAATTATATGACAACGCTGATGATGATGATGACTGGGGACGGGAATGAGGATGAGGACGCATTGTTAATGTTTGGTGCCCAGCAGAGCCCACTCACCGAATATGGTCTGCAGCACGGCCGATATGAAGAGCATTGTTTTGCGGCCAAATTTGTCAGAGAGATAGCCGGAAATGATGCCACCTGTTGCGACGCCTAATAGAAAGAACATCTCGGCCACGTTCTTTAAATGCTCCTTGTCGCACACCAGATCCCACTGTGAAGTCCAAGTGTTGCCGACATTGTCGTTCGTCGCGTACTCCCAGCTGTTGCAGGCAATCAGCTTCCCGTCGTCGGCAGTTGCTGCCGCAGCTGCTGCCGCCTGTTGCTGCAAGCCGCGATAAGCGCATTAGTTACCCATGGTTGGGTTTGGATTTAAATGAAATTTTATGCATGGCAACACCACGCTCCTTACCTCCATCTGTGCGGGTAACGTGTCGTTGCTCAGCTGGTTCCAATCTATGCCGGCGAGCACATGACAATTGTCTTGAGAGCCGCTCAGATTACGCCAAACATCGACAGGCAATTGCTGTAGATGTGATGGGCGCTGACACCAGAACTCCTTGTTGGCCGCCTGATAAACGGATGACGATATGTGAAAGGTGTTTGGCACCTGGAACAGCGACAGCAGCACCGTCATGACTAACTGCCATTTGCCATAGTGGCCCATCAAATCGCCGATCACATCGGTCTCATCCTCATCGTCAGCTGGCCCGGCGCCGGGCTCTGCCGCCGCCATCGGTGACTGTGTGGGCGTGGTTATGGGGGACGGTTTGCCGGCTGTGTCGTGCATGGCGCACAAAGGAACTGCAAGGTTGCAAAAAAATGTTATCAGTCGCAGTTGACATGACCTGTCCTTGAATATAATATAATGCTTTTTATAGGTAAAATAATTATTTAGTTAACAATCAAATCTCTAGGTGCAGATGTAAGTCATATCTAGCTACTTTAAGATTGAAAAAATAAAATGAAATAAAACAAGTGAAGTTCTTTATTTATACCCTGAAAGCATTGTAAGTAGGTAAAAGGGCGTATAGGATTTCTTTATTCATTTAATTAAATTTCATTCAGATACTCATCTACTCAGGAATATTATTATGTTAGCTCAGTCTATTAGTCTATTATATCTTAAGAAATTTCTTAACTCTTTTCTTTAGATACGCGATCTCTCAATATCAAGCCCGTCAAGATGCACGCATATGGCCATTATACTCAAAGGTAAAGAGCATTCAAATTAATTTTATTGCGCGTGTCAGGCGCACACAAAGGCGCAATTAGTTAAGTGGCCAGTTTCCAGTGGGCCAGTGGTGGTCATAAACCAAGTCAGCCTCTCAGAAACAGGCAAGCGGGCAGGCCAAAGTCAAAGCCAACTGCAGCCAAGTCAAGCAGCGAAGGCGACTCTATTTCATTTATTACGCGAATCCGCAACAGTTTCCCTTCAGTTTCCAAAGCTCACAACCTGCGTTCGATGGAATTCAATCACATCGTGGGCGATTAACCACATTTGGCCAAAGTCCGATCCAAGTTACCAGCAAAAGTTGTGTGCACCCAAATACAAAGTAAAAGAACAAGAATAATAGCTAAGATTTAATGTAATTGCGTTGGGTGGAGGCGGAGGCCTGGCTGGTTCTCGTCATGTTCGTGTCCTTTTTCTCAGTTGGCTAGTTCAGCAATTTGTATACCCTTGCAGAAGGTATTATAATTTTGCCGTGAACTGTGTAACGCCAAGAAGGAGATATCTCCGACTCTACTAAGTATATATATTCTTGATCAGTATCAATAGCCGAGTCGTCTGACCATCTTTCTGTTTCTAAGCGAAGGAGTGTCTCATTTTAAAAGCTATCGGAATGAAACTTTGTTGCACGCAGTAAAAATGTCGGAGCCAGCTGGATCGGATATCAAGGTGTCTTAACTAAACTCTACATTTTTTTATTTTAAATATGTATACGCAAAATCCTATCGACAGCGGAAGACTATATCATATAGCTGCTATAGGAACGATCGGTCGAAAATGAAGTTGTTGTATAAAAACTTTTTTGTTTTTCAAAATATTTTAATTATAATTGATATTAACTATTTTCCCTGTGCTTTTTAGATAAGGCAATGCGTTATAGCATTATGAAATGGTTGGGTCTTCAAGGGCATTAAATCTTCGGCGTTCCGAAGATAGCTCTTCTTTCTCGTTTTTGTTCTTATTGCTAGCAGCCTTTCTTTCAATGCGGTCGGCGTCGCCTTTGTAGCGCATTGGCTTTGTTCGGGATTTGCCAGCTCAGCCAGTGACTGACTACTTCCACACAACCATAGGTAACAATATCAATGCCAACAAGTAAGTAATATTCTTCCCTCCTACAACTCAAGACGATACAAAGAAATAAAGTTTGACTTAAATCTCATTGAGCTGCTTTTCTCTTAGCTGCACTAAGCGGTTAATCCTTTGGCAACTTTATTCTTGTGCCTTATAATTAAATACTTTAGCACACGTCAAATGGAATCAATTTCGCTTTTCGACAATATCATTAATTATTTATGTGGGCGGGTTGTGGGCGTTATGATTTGAACGTAAAGAAACCAAATGCTCGCACATATAAATGAAATATACAATATAAGAATATGCTTATTAAAACAATTAGAATATCAGCCTTCTCTCTATATTTAATTATCAATCAAAATATTCGCATTGAAATATGTCGTGATTTTCTTGTTGGCCTATGATTGATTTATTGTTAAAGAACAGCCCAATTTCTATAAGAACCATCAAACCTTTAGACACATTTTAAGCTGCTCGACAAAGGGTAAGCAACATTAATTTAATAATGATGCCTGCTTGTGAAAAATTCATTTAGTTGCAGAACTATGAAGAGTTGATATATTTCATAAAAATGTGGCATAATTCATGCGTAAGTGCACATTACTTTTCCTGCTGCATTCAACTCGGCTTAAATTAGCATTTTGCATATTTGCTCAGCACAGCTTGTGCGGGAGTTTGTCTCTGTCGCTGTTATTCCATGTGTGGCCAGTGGCCGCTTGGCCGCAGTAAAATTCACGCCACACGCTGCAGGCCGCACGCCGCATGCCGCATGCCGCACGTGATAAGCAGTTAAGCGCAAATTTTCACGCACTTGTAAACACAATAAGCGAAGCGTACTCGCGAAAAGCCGCAAGCCAGGGCTGAATGCGGCGGATGGGCCAGAAGGAGGAGTGCCGGGCAACTGGGGATGCCAGCAAGGCGCTGGCAGGATAATTAATTATCAATTTCATAGACGCCATGCGTTGCAGCTGCAACATATGCGCGGCATCAACGCATCAACACACACGCACACACACCTTTACATAATAGTTGTCTGTACCTGCCGTGCACTGCCTTTTCGGGCAGGGAAGTCGCATGGGGATGCAACACAACAACAACAATGTTTGTTTGTTGGCATTGCCGTTGACATCGCAGTAAGCGCCCACGGGCAGCCAGTGCCTGAAGGTCGTCGCACGCAGCGGCCTGGCTAGTGTATAGGTTATATAGGTGTTGGGGGGCGGAGGGTAGGGGGCGTCACTTTGTGTGTCGGCGACTCAATCTCAATGCTATAAACTACGTCGTTGCCATTACAATTTTACCTTCAACTCATTCGCGCCAGGCGGGCACACATGGCGTATGCGCAATCTTATGGCACGCTGAAAATAACACTAATTGCATTTTGTTGCAGCTGTTGTCCAACTAAACGGAACAACCGACCAAGCAGCCCAATAGATCAACTAACCCAGTCCCACTTGCAGGGCAGCCCCCATTGGCACCAAACAATGCACATTCTTATGAAAAATAATATTCACAATAAAATCCAAAAACATGGTATTATTTAGAAGTGAGAGACATTGTCTTGTATTTTGGTCGGGTATATGCAACTTTGTTTTTGATAAGTTAATGCAACTTTCATAGTTATTAAACCTCAATATCAAAAGGGTATGCAGTTGCGTCAAAATTATTTAATTCATTGTAAATGTACTCTAGTCGAGAATGCAGACAGATAGAGATACTTCCTTAAGACTTTAACATTCATTTGCAATTCCACAATATACCCCAATTACCCATATTTAAACCGAACAGAGTATAAAAATAATATATTTTATTAATTGTATAAGAATGTTGACACTATAAACACAATTGCTGGTGCAACAGGCAGCATTCACTTAGTTGATTATTTTACTCTATTGCTTAAGCTGTTTAATATGCAGTTAAAGACAAAATGTTGATTTGTTATTGCCAATTAGAGACGTCTTTCTATATGTATTGAATTTAAATCTAAAGTGCAGGTCGTAAATATTTGAAACATTCCATACACTCCTCGCAAAAATATGCAGCTCTGGCGCTCTGACGCAGTTTGCATTAATCGGTCGATCTAGTTTTTGCTGCCAATTTGTTACTTGATTGCCCCCAAAGAGGTTGTTTACAAACTGGGCATACATTTTCGAATTCGAGCAGCTAGATCTCCCACTCATCGCACTTTAATTAACAAACGCTATGCGAATGCAGTTGCAATGGTCCATGCTCAATAGCTAATTACAATCACATAGTAAAATTAATCTATGCATATTGCAATCATAAAAATACATGCTTATGCATAAATATGCATCTATTTAACAGTCGCCGCCTCAAAGTCAAGTTCACTTGGTCGGGAGCGATATGATATCCGATACGGATGTGTTTGGGCGCGATCTTTTGACACGCTTCAACAACTGACGCCAGCGGCAGCTGCCTTTACTCATCGCTCATCGCTCGCTCAATTGAAAAAGATATACACGCTGCTCAAATAATGATTTGTTTCAATTGAAAAGTCAATGCCAGCACACAAAGCCCAGGTCCAAGCCGGCACCAACATCATCGTCTAGGTTTATTCATATGTATGATTAATTAAAAGTTGAAATAGCGCCCGGTTCAAATTAACTGGGTGCTGAGAAAGTTCCACAATAGGCAATTTCTTTGCTTAAATTTACATAGTTCAATTATGAGTTATATTTGTGTATTCAGCAAAGGAAATTCATTTCAACACAGTACATATATCATCTGTATAAGATTTGCGCAATTGCCTATTTGTAGATAAATATGGGGTTTCTCGCAATAACAAAATTCTTCACCAATCTTAATGATAATTATAACATTGTCACTATCAATTGTGTTAACTTTTTAAAAAGCGCTTTAAGCGATAAATATATTGGAATAATAATGTAGGAGTCGATAAAAAGGTTATACATTCAATTAATATAACATAGGATTATTCGATAGCTAATTAACTATTCGCAGCTAAGTCAGCTGAAAAATGTTTTTAATAAATTGATTATTTTAGTTAATAAAAGTTATATTGTTATACTTGAAGAGGAAACAAGTATTTTGTTGACAGACACCTTTCAAATGGTACAGTGGGTTGTTAAACATCTCTTTTAAATTTAATTTTGTAATATTGGTAAATTTTTTGATATACTTACAGGAATTTAAATATTTAGAAGAATAGAAAGTTTGTTTTTGGGCTTGGATTAATAAGCACCATACCACTGAACAAAGTCACTCCCCCAAATTTCGCAGAATTCGCCAAAAAGTCCTAGGGCGTTGACCTCGGCTTATCGAGCGGACTTAGCTTTATTTTCAACCTCGAATAACTAATTAGCTACAATTTTGTATTTGCATTGCTGCAACCAAAAGTGACAAAAACGAGTGTACATTTTATAAAAAAAAAAAAAAAAAACGAGAAATTATAAGCGCCACAATCAGCGTGAAATGTGCTAAATAATTTTATACAAAAGAAATCATTTAGCTTTGGGGATACACGCCGACAATTGCAGAGGTGGTGGTTGAAAGCAGGGGGTGAGTGGGTGTGGGAAGGGGGGAGGGGGTGTCGACTGACTGAGAGACTGAGAGATAGACAAGCTGTCGCTGTAATTAGCAGTCATGCATATAAAAGTGCATTCACTTTCATTCTATGACTATGAGATGTTGATGATAATGATGCTGATGATGATGATAATAATAATGATGATGATGAGGTTTGTGTTGATAATGATGTTAAGGGGAGGACGCTTAATGACGTTGGCAGGCAATTTGCACATTTATAGGATTTGTTTATATATATAATGCATTCTGTGGTTGCCGCTGCCTTTGCGGCTACCTCAACCCCCTCAGCCGGCAATGCACTCGCATTCGAATTGTAGAACGCTGCCAAGTGTGTAATAGTAATCGTAATCTAGACACAGCATCGTATATACGCCTATATAGTTAGTAGTTTAGTTAGCTCTTCGGCGTCGACAGCTTCCGCTGTTCGCTGTTTCACAGAGCGTCTAAGATGCCGACATTTAGCCGGATAACAGCCTATCTCTGGAACTGGCAGCGGTCGATCTGGGTTCTGGGCTGTCTGTCTGTGTGGCATGGCTCATCACTTGTCAGTCTTATTACAATAACGTCCACAAGCGTCGCGATGTGACAGCTCGGATAAGAAAACAATTTGATGATTAACATTCCAAAATGATTCGAAATGTTTGCTAGTGCGTTGCACGGCTACGGCTCGGTAGTCACAAGCGTAAATTATTTTTAAATTTTTCCATAGTTTACGTTATTTGCCAAATGCTTTATAGACATTATAAACGATTAACTTTTTAACTAACCGCATGTACGTGCTGCAGTGGTCTTTTCACGCCTTGCAATTAAAGATATTGATTTTGGCATTTGAACGCATAAATATGCAAAGCAGAAAGAGAAATAAAATGAATCAAACTGAACTGGAAGAAAAAACAAACATGCCCACCAGATTGTAGCAATAGTACATAATTTCAGCTAGCTATAAATTGCTAAAGATTTATGGCAAACTATTGCGACTAATCGTTCAGTAAATCAGGCCGTAAATGAGGCTATTTGTACAGCGCAAAATAAAAACTGCAAGTAATTTGGCGTTTAAATGAATCAGTTTCGAAAAATACCAAAGAGATTTTTCGCTAGGAAATCGAAAATCAAGTTTACATTCAACGTGATTTAGTTTTATTGCTTTAAACAATTCTAATCAAAGGCTATAGATGCCTGTAAATAAAATTAACTTCAAAGTTTGAGAAACACGCCTCGACTTTGGATAATAAAATGTTAGCTTTTATCTTCAAATCATTTGAGAATTTCATTCATTTGTATAATCAGTTGCTCAAATATTAATATTATATTAATATATTAAAACTTTAATTTATAACTATAAAGGTGCAATCAAGAGATCAAGAAAGAATAAATAATAAAAATACTTAATGTTTATAAACAAGTAAATTTAAAGATTGATTTAAGAGTTTATTTGAATTAATATGCAAACATGTAAATAAACATGTAAATAAGTAAATTTTCATTTAACTTTGAGGTTGAAAAATTTAATTATATATTTAAATTATAAATTGTTAGTATTTTAAGTTATTAAGTTAAAACGAAATACGATAGTTGTTGGCCCATTCTAATCAAATATTGAGAAGGATTCCGCACAAGCCGAGCGATCTTCGAGCGATAACCCACATACACCGCTGGGTCGTCTATATGTAGATAAGGCCAACTACCAAATTACTTAAGCTAAATTTGAAACTTTGCTGTCCTGCTGTGGCTGCTTTATGGGGTAAATATTTCTTGGAAGGACTCATTTTCATTGATAGTCACAAATTGAAATCAGCTTAACAATTTCGTCAATAGCACTCATAAAATTAGTACGAAACGTTTACAATGCCGAATGATTGAAAAGAAGAAGCAGAAGGCACCCACACACACGCACTCAAAAATCAAATGAAAGCAAATCAATTGTAAGGCATTTACAAAGATTTACATATTCGTAGAAATAATGAGGTGGGCGTGTGCAACCTTTTGGCAGTAAATGCCAAATGTGTTGATATATTATGCAAATGTTTCCTTTGTGGATCTTCCACCTGCTCGAAGCTTGTATATCTTTTATTTTGCACAAATTTAATTTAGCACAATAGCAACAAACCGGGGAAAAAGAAGCTATCCGAGAGTACATTGCAATATTGGCAGATCCGTTATGTCCGCAGCTCGCACTAGTTGGCTGCCATTGTCGTGCCACATTGAAGGGTCCTTACAGACTTTTTGCCTGTTTGCCTGTTTGCCTGTTTGCCTGGCTGCTTGCCTGTCGGTCGCTTCATGATTTTCGTATTTGTTGTAAGCAAACCAACAGATACGCCCGTGCCCGTGCCTGTGCCTGGCTAGAATTTATACATCTTCATTTTCTTTTTTATGTGACTGGGCTAGCAAAATGTAGGTCATCTGTACCATGGGCATCCAGGGGTATCCACAAATCTCCTTATTTGCGCTTGGCGCGTTTTTTTTTTTTTTTAATATATGTATGAACGTCCATTGTTGTGAACATGAATTTGCAAATCTATTTCCATTTCTATTTATCTTAGTGTGTGTATGTTTTTCTTGTTGTTAATGCTTCCATGTGGCCAGCTGCCCTTGCAGCTGTTGTCTTCTTAATCGAATAGCAAATCGTTTGGCAATTTCAAATTTAGCCAGCTAAGCAGCGATAATCCGACAACATACAAATACAGACATACCCATGCCCCATCATGCTACATGCCCCTCGCCGCTTTCCACATTGTGAGTGCCTTTTGATTACAATTTCAATTTCAAAGTGCGCACTGATTTGCTACTTTTATGCGCTTCCAATCAGTCGACATCGAGGCACAGCTTCCGCCATTAGCATAACCCAACATGACTGGAGGCGACGGCAACCGGCGCCAGGTGATTGCCAGAAATGTTTGTGTCCCTGTTTGATTCATTTTCCCAGTCATTTTATTTTTTTTTTTTTTCATTTCTTTTTTGCATGCATTGTTAAGATTCCGATTCCAATTCCAATTGGCTGCATGCATAAAAGGTGGCACTCGGCATTTTTCAGTTGCCTTTGCCCTTTGTGGCGGACTTGTAAGCCTTTAATATTTGCTGACTAACAGACGGCATGTTAGTTACTGTAAATTTGCCTTAATCCTTCGTATTAGAAGTGGATATTAGGTAACATTTCTTTCTTGATTTCACATCGACAGTGGTAGGAATGTGACAAATAAGGAATATAATAGAATTTTTTATCTGACGTCTAAGAGAGCTGATTATACTTATAAATTAAATATCATATGACAAATATATACTTCTATCAGCTTTTTAAACAAAGATTGAACACTACTCAGTATAAAAAGGCGATATCGAACAAATATAATAATATATGGAATATAAAGAAGCGCGTCATTTGCAACATAAATAATAACCATAATATAATATAGTCAATTATGGACATGAAATTTATGTTTCTGATCAACTTTTTAATAAATTAGACTTTCATATTTTACCTTATAATTAATAAACATATTGCTAATTGTCATTATCCAAATTTTAAAACGTAGATCAAAAAAGATAATAGACAAGATATTAAGCTAGCTGTCTTAAAATGTTGTGACGTTTATTATGTTAGGCCTACCTATTTTATATAGATCACTTGACAATTAAAAGCATTTCCACAGTATAAAAAGATAATATCATACATTTTATTATTCTTTTGAGCACAAAATTGTCATTAAGAATAGCAATTTGAAAATAGCTCTTACTCCAATTATCATGCCGAAAAAGCCATATTTGTGGAATACTACTATTTTTCGCCTAACATCCTTATCTGAGTAATTAACCAAAAATAAATAATTTTGATATTTATGATCGTAAGCAACGAATGTCTATTTGTGCCCAATGTCATAATTAGGTTAAGATTGTAAACACAAAACTTGAAGGCATCTATTCTACTCTAGCGAATAAACAATATAGTTTGCAAGTGCCGTATAACAAGACATTTATGGACGAGTATAGAGTTAAGAGACTCACTCGTCCGCGCAAGTACACATAACATTTCTATTTTTTATTTTTATATATTTTTTCAAAATGTACATTGTATATATACATGCATAAACATATGTGAATGACTGTGGATACACAGTTCAGGCAGCTGTTCTGCAATCTGTCAAGATAAACTCATTGTTGTTGCTTGTTATCCTTATTGTAGTTCATGTTGTTATTGTTATTGTCGCTATTTACTCTAAAACATACACACCGACACACACACAAAGAGACATCATAAAATAGAAAAACAGACGGACAGACAAAACAGGCAAGTAAATAAACAAGGCAAAGCAAACACCGCTGAGGGCACATCCGCAGGTCATGCAAGCAGCAGGAGCAGCTCTAAGGATGGGGGCAGAGCACAGACACCAATGCCGTGTGTTGATGTTTTGGTTGTCAACATGGCGAGGTTGCCAGTGCCCGTAAAGAGCTTACCTTATGGATACAATACGAAGTTTTGCTGCTCCTAGACGTGGGCTAATCCTGATGGCGGGTTTTGCTGCACAATTGGCACCGCAAGGATGCTGCTGCTGTTGCCTACCCGCTTTCCTTACACCGCTTCCTGTTGCTGTTGTTTTGATGCCTTGGCGCGGAAGTCCGTTGTTTTTAAAAGTTTTAAAAGCGCACCAAACGGAAATTGACACATAAAACCAACGCTCCTCGTGTGTTTATTGTTATTATTGTTGTACAATGAGCCTCTGATGAGTTAATAGTTTATGACATTACGCATACGAAGCGTTGTGAGAGACAAAATTGTTTCTTGTGACTCTTTTTTAAATTGCGTGTTGCAGCCGCAATGCACTTGATTTGTAAATGCAGCTGTAATTTATAATTGCGGTTTAGTCAATGAATATTTGAGAGCAGGCGCGGGAGAATGAATTTCACATTTGTTACTCATACGCCGCGTGGTGTGACGGAACGAAATATTTGCGCGCGCTTCGCTTAAACGACAGCAAATTGCAATTTGGAAAACAAATGCGAGCGTTGCAATTTGCAATAATAAAAATCACAAAAGCAACAACAATAACAAGAAATTTAAGAAGAAAAAAATAAAAACAATTAGTTTCTGCCAGTAATAAAATTAATGATAGAACAACAAATAAAATATATTTACTGATGGCTCTTGACCAAGAAAGAAAATGATGAAATAAATGTCTGGTGATATTTTTATTGTCGCTGTTGTTGTGTGTGGGCTGTTCACACCGTCTAATATGCTCTATTTAGCAGCAAGTCTCGTCATAGTTTTCCAAACATTGGCGGGGTGCCTTCAGTATTTTGCTTATTATAAACAACTAAAACTTTAAGCATAAGCATTTATATATTGGCACATATTTGTACATATGTATATGTATAATTGTATATGCATAACAATGTTGTTGCCGCTCGCATTTGTTGTTGTCTTTGCTGCTGTTGTTTAATTTATTTATTTAATTTTATACTATGCGCACTCACGCACCCACAAATCGTTTTGTCTTTGGCTGCTCACACGAAAAACTCTTCCTGCTGTTGCTTCTTACAATTCTCTACGGCGATGGTGACAATGATGGCGACAATGTCGTCTCTGTCCGCTGCTGTTGTTCTTGTCGTTGTCGTTGTTGTTGCTGCTGTTGCTGCTGCTGATGCTGCTGCGGCACAAGTTCATACAACCACAACGAATGACCGAGAGCAACTGAGCGCTCGTGCGAATTGCGAAGAACATTTATAACTTTTGCTCCTGTACGCAACGACAGCGTACTGTGGTTTATGGCCCAGTTCTGCCAGTAAAAATCAAAAATTAATTTTTATTCAACCACGCTCTTTTTCTAGATTCCACTATTTAAATCACCAATGATTATTTATATTTTCTTATATTTAAATACCTAATACTTTTTAAAATCTCCACAACCAATTTCAAATTAGTTCATAAAAATCAGAATGTAACTATATATGTATTAAATACTTAGGCTAAGATTAAGTCCTAGATGATTTGCAATTGTGTCAGAGCAAAAATCACTCTGCCCCACTGTGCAACGCCAGCAGCGCTGATGCTAACGTTGATGCTGTCGATAGCGAAAGCGCCAATAGCTGTGGGGCCTGCCGTTGGGTTGCCGATGCTGCGCTAAGACCATTCTTTGGCAGTCGACGTCGACGACGACGTTCTATCAGCTGCTGCTGTTACTGCACCAGCTGCGGGTACTCTCTTCACTCGTGTTCTCTTGGGTTGCGCTCTCTTAGTTCGCCACGCTTGGCGCGAAAAACTGTTGCTGTTGTTACTTAATCGCCGGCATTGTTTTACTCAGCGTTCTCTATACACTACCGTTAAGTAACAGCGTGAATGCTAAAGCATGCTACTTAAAACGAAAATTATCTCAAGCAGGGAACTAATGGAGGGGGTATGGGTTAAAATCACCGAGCTCATATATAAATGTTTTATTGCCTTAGCCAAAGGCCATTATAGCCTCTTCTATGTAAACTATGTAAACATTTAAGCTTACAATAATATTAAAAACATTTGATGATCATCTACAGAAAGGGTATCCTACTGTCAACATTCAACGCTGGCATTTCCGCAATAACTCTTATTTGGAATTTTGTTCATAAGTGCCTTTGAGTAATGCCCATATCTATCTAGTAGCTGCAACTTGCTGCCCGCCCAGCCGATCTGGGCATTGATCAAGCAGTAGTCGCAGACATATAGTTATAGTTTATAATAGTCATGGCTATAGCTATAATTATAGTAACAGTCTATTTGCCATTAGCCGGCACGTGGCTAGCACCGATCGCTGAGCGACGACTGTCAGTGACAATTCGCTTGATAGATCACAAAAAAATGCTGACAATTTGTTGACATTTTTGTATTGTTATTTGTTTGGGGGTTTTTGTATTTTTTTTTTTCGGGTGGGTAATGCTGATGAGTATGATGATTGTTTAATGAGAATTCACTATGGGTGTTCGTTTTATTATTATTATGTCGACGGAAACACAGAAATATAAATACATAAATGTGATTAAACACATTGAATTTTATTCTATTTAGCTGAGTAATTGGTTCTATTTGTGTGCCAATAATATTTTTAACTAAAGTATAATAATTTTTGTAGATCACAGTTCTCTATCTAGAGTTTTTAATAAAGAGTTAAACAGGTATATTTAAATTTATATATAAAACTGTTTGTCCTGACTGACTGATTAATGATCAACGCCGGAAGAACAGAGAAGCTGAAATTTTCAGTGTAGTTTCCCTTTGTGGTGAAGGTGCATGTTAAGACGGAGTTTCGGAAAACTCCTCCCGCAAGTGTGGAAAATCGCGAAAAACTTTTGACGTTTGTGTGAAACTCTTTTGTTTACAATCCGATTGGCCTCAACCTCATTTTCAATGGTCTTTGAGGGGCTCAAATAATTGGTGGGTGACGTTTCGCGTTTAAAATCATATCCAAGGAAAATTATATATGAAAATTGTTTGAGACATGTTTTACACTTATTGCAGAATCCAAGCTTCCTCGGTGAAAAGTTCAAAGATTTGTTTTGATGAAGTTTTAAGTTTTTTTTTTTTAAATTCAACTATTGTAGGTGACCAGTGTACTCCATGTACTCTTTAGATAGGCAACATTCTAGCTATCTAACAATAAAAAACTTTGTATTGTATGCGCAACTTTAAAGCTTTTAAATATTTACATAAATAAAAACAGTCACAACTTTGTAAGAAGCGCTTTTTAAATTTTTTTTTTTTATTATTATTCATGAAACCAAAGAACAAATGGGAAACTTTGTTCAGCTGCTTAATTGTCGCTAATTGAGTAAAACATCAGCAAATGCGAAGAGTCAGTTGTGATAATTACGCGAGAGCCGGCTTAAAAGGTTGCCAAATGTTTATCGTATCTATAAAGCTGGTCAACAAAGGAAACCAGATACTAATTGATAATCCATATAGAAACAGTAATTGCACAATAAATTCGACTCGACAAGTCTATTAGATTCCCCTCGAATCAAAATATCTATTGATACGCTTATCTCTAAGCAAACATTAATCATACTCCATCCTGTTATGGGCACAGAAGCTCTTCCCACGGACATGCTTCCGCATTGGAAAGCTTATCAAAACAATCCAAATAATGTTGAGTGGGGCGTATGAGTAATATACACATGTGTTTTTAATTTGAAATATTTTACTCACCCCAAATTCAGAGTGCACAAAACAAAATCGCACATATATTCGGTTAAATATTTATAATTATTTGAAAGCTTGAAGTTGAGCGCGTTTGTAAAATTGCTCGCATGACATACAAAAAATAGCATGCGATAAAATTTGCCCCACGCTTATCGCTTTTGGCGCGCATTTATAAGCGTATAGAATATAATTTGATATTGTTGTTGCAAAGCAAAAAGAATTTGCATTTGTTTATTTATAATATGCTAGCACTTAAATAATTAATTTGTTGTTTTTGTTTATTTATCAATGAAAACGAAGGCGCAGCGGGAGACATTGATTAAGATTCTGCACAGAGCCGTTTCCATATCTATATACATACGCGTGTATGTATGTATGTGCATATTCTAATTAGATTTCTTGGCGCTACACGATTTTCATAAATTAAAGGCAAATATTTCGTATTCGCATTTGATTAGAACAAAGCGAACCGTTTGGCTAGCTGCGGAGCACAGTTAAGCTTCATAAGCGGGCTCGACTTGCAGTGTGCAAATGTCACTGATTTATGGCCAAGACCAGCACCAGTATGTGTGTATGTGTGTGTGCGTGTGTTTGGGTGTGTGTGTTTGGGTGTGTGCCAGTTTGTTTTGTTTGACCAACTTAACTGGTTTAATAGCCCGGTGCCTAGTAATGGCGAGTGTGTGGTACTTACTTTTTGCCTGCTCCTTCGACGACAGCAGCGGCAGCTCCAGCTCCAGTTCCAGTTCTAGTTCCATGTCAGCTGGGATGTCATGGGTTAAGCCAGTAGTACTTTGACGTTTTGGCATTGCTTGTTTGCTTTGTTCTTTGTTTTTGTATTGAAATCAACATGCATGGACATTAACTAATTATTATTATGCGCACAATGGCAATTCGAGCTTTGATTTCAGTTTTTACGACTTGGCGCCCCCGTCTTATCAACAGCTGGTATGCTTATCACCGGCAACACTTGACCATGCGACTTGCTTAGTACTACTACTACGAGTGGCTACTAGTTAGTTGCTCTAATAATACCCTATATACGCGACACTCGCTATCGGTAGCACTCTGTTAATAGTGGTTGGCTGTCAGTTAGGATTGCGCTCTGGCCCCACATATATCACGTTTCAATTATTAATACTGCATATTCCAAATTGGGCAAACGTGTTGGCATTTGTTCCGTTTTGGGATTTGCTTTATTAGCCTTTGCGAATGCGAATCGATTGGGGCGTTGCTTGTATATAGTTTATATATTTTATTTTCTGCTACGGTTTCAATTATTTTAGCTTTTCATTTGTTGACGCGTTTTGGTTTTTTTTTTCGCGCAACGTGCGAACTGTGCAACGGACAGCGGCCAACTGACTTACTAAACGCTGCTCTGGCCAGCCTTAAAGTCGCTTCACTTCACCTCAGCTCCCTCCAGCTCGGCTCACTTCAGTTCCGTTCCGTCTCTGGCCATTGAGCCCCACTGTGTCTGCGACTAAACTACGACAACAACTGAATTGGGTAGCCCCCAAAAACAACCAAAATATATAATGATAAATTCGCAGTGCTGCTGCCGGTTTTTGTCGTGTTTGTTTTGGTCTGATATTATAATTGCGAGTGGGCAACGGCAAGAGGTTTGGCATTGGCTTGCGAATCAGTTGGGATGGGATGGGATGGGTTGGTTTGGAATGGGTACTGTTGTGGGATTGGCGCGTTAAAATGTATTTACACATTCATTGAATGTATTTTAAGCGATTCTCATTTGCTTACCAGAAAAAAAAAACAAAGCACACTGTAAAACACGGGTATAAATTTAATTGACAGCTGAATAACATCGCCAGACGTCGAGTTGAACTGAAATAACCCCGAGGTTATTTTTTAACCAATATAATAATGATGGCATAATATACTTGCACATGTTTAATAAGTAGGTGCTAAGTACCTGTCTAAATAGCTGAAGATATGTCTTAGACACTATGAAAATTTGCGAACGGAAGGTGAGCAAGGTTGAATCTATGACCGCAACGACTTAATTATTTTGAGCTAAATGCTCATAAAGTCTTCTTTAATCAAGCCAAGTTGCCAAAAGTATATACTGTAGATAGATAAGTCATTTTTTATTATTAAAAACATAAGAAATAATGTCCTTGATTAGAAGGTTTCATATTCGTTTGGCAATATTCTCATTTCGTTATTTACTGCAAGTTAATACATTATTATTATTAAATTTTCTTATTTTAAATATAATCTTGGTTTAATTATTTATTTTATGTCAGACCAGAAGACTAACTAAGCCGTTTTTATGTTGTTGCAGTTTTTACAAATATTTAAATAAATATCTTTTTATAAAAAAATTATATATATTCCCTTGCTCTCGAAATAAATAAATGTATGCACAATTACGGTTATCGCTTTCCGATATTTTAAAAACTATTCTGATATCATATTATTATCAAGCGTGTTCCCGTTTTTTGCAATTATTTCCTTTGTATTGAGGGATTATACACACTATTACGTATATATATTTATTTGTATATTAACTCTGTGTTTACTTTTTATTAAAATCCACTAGATTAGATTTCGGTGAATCAAGAGAAATCAAATAAGCTCAGAAAGTTTGCCCCAAAAACGTAACCCCAAAAGCTCAATTAAGATGGGTTTCAAACCAAAAAGCACGGACAAAGCTTTCAGAATATCCTCAGTGGAATTTATCTCGCACCGGAGGCGCTGAATCTGTTTACTTTTCCCAGGATATTGCTCAACCGTAACCACATAATAGGGCAGAGATTTAGCACGCATTAAGCAACATCAAAATAAACAAACAATTTCGCAGACAATTGGTTCAAGCAGTTCAAGCAGCCACAACGAATTGTGGTGTGAGGACTGTGGGTTAGTGGTTAGGGGTGGGGTGAGATTATCCTGCGGAAAAGTGGTCGCTGTTTGCCGGTCGTGCGTCAGCGTGGAAATTTACAGACAAATTTGCTCTGGCCATTTCTGGTGTGGATGCAAAGCGCTAATCGATATGTTCCAGACGTAAGCCCTCGATCCAGACAGCCCAAAGCCACGTTCCCAGCTAGGGTTGGTGTGGAGTGTGTGTGAAAGAGTGTATTTGATGGGCGCTGCTCCAGTTGAGTGCACTACGACAACGTCTTGACACCACCAATATGTTTGTTGTTGCTGTTGTTTGTACGTTGCCGTGCGTCAATCACTGAAGTATTTTTTTTTTAAATATGACTAGCTGTGTTTGGACTGAATATTACCAGTTATTTATAAACCTTGGAAATGCGTCGTCTGTGGGTTTAGTGTCTACTTTTCAGAGAACAGGGCATGGAAACTTATATAACGCACTAACGCAACATATTCTTTAAAGAAAGTTGAACTTTCTATATCCTCTAGCTATATACAATTTACTGCAACCATGCCCACATCTGTGAAGTGCCCAAAGTCTTTACATATACTTTTGTTTGTACAAACTGACGATACGTTATGTTTGTCTTCTTTAAGTCTCATTACCCATCCTCTTTCTTCTTCCAAAAAAACAATGAAAGGAGAAAGAAATATAAAAACATACAAAAGGAAACTGATTGATTAGTCAATAAAATAACAAGTAAGAAGTTCTAGTCGGGAGCTCCCGACTAGGGGATACCCTGAACCCTCTTATTCCAACATCAAACTTGACTTTACGAACTAATGATTTTATTGTCTTTAACATTTTTGAACCCATCGATGTTTAATTTGTTTGAATGCCAATTGGTGGTAGGGGTCCGTACGCGTTCAGAAAGGTATAACATTTTAAAACAGACATTATTTACCCGAGATATTAAAAAAAAAAAAAATATTATACAAAAAAATACCTAAAGCTTTTCTTGTGGCTTTGAGGTTATTTTTATTACTCTTTTCTTCTATCTAAGCCTACGTAGTCAAATTGAGATCCGTTTAAATTCTTTTCTAAATAAACATATACATAAGCACTTTTATTTTGTTTGACAGGCCAAGAAGCGACAAGTACGATAATATGCAAATCAAATGAGAGTGAATTGCTTATTTCCGTTCTTTCCCACAGTCGGTCAAGTCCAAGTGGACGCGTGCATTGGCGATTATCGCCTAGCTCGGGCGCACTCGTTTGAAATGCGATAATTTAATTGTGGTCCAATGACATATCCGCCGCACAGCTACAACAATAATAACAACAACAACAACAAGAACAAGAACAACAACAACAGCAGCAGCAAGAGCAAGTATATTAAGGTACCAGTCATTGCTGGGCAATATTCAGTCGAGGGGTTGTTGCAGCGATTGCCAAAGTTAAATTAACAATCGTGTTTACATTGGTTTGTAACAAGATTTCACTTAAGGATGTCAGCTTTGGGCTTGCACCGGTTCGTAGGAAACCAGGCGCCGGGGCACTTACCCTGCATCAAAACTGATTACTGTCATCAGCTTTGTGCGCCGCGGAGTGTGCGCCGGCGTGCGTGTGCCAACCAATTTGACTGGTAATCAAAAGGTTTGCGCATCCGCGTCCGCCCTAGCATATTGTTTGGGCATTGTTCGACTTTGCCGGCACTGGTTTTTCGCGCCTCGGGGTTAGCGCACGCGACCTGGTCGCCTGCCTGGGCGGGGCGGGGCGGTGCGGTGCGAGCAGCTCTGACGTAGCTAATTTGTGCGTAAACCAAAACATCAAATAAACATAATTCAATTTGAACAATTGCCCCGTCTGTCTGCTGTTGACAATTCTGCGGTTTCAAGTGCTGCCCTTTGAGATACAGATACATAGATGTATCCCTAGGAATGACACTATATATGTAAAATGTATTTGTTAAATGAACTGTAAACTGTAACGGACTGCTATGCGATGTGATCTGATTGTTGCAGTTTTGCGCTCAATTTGACGTCTCGTGGGAAGCTGACTGTGCCGAGTAACCCTCTAGCTCGAGGCCAAAATGTCAACAGGTTGGATCACGATCAGCTTTCGAAAGCGATGCGCCTCCATGTTGATCTCACATTACTAACAGACCACACGAGAACCTTTAAGGCACACATGCCACCAAGCTGCCAAGCTGCCGTCAACCGGGATAGAGTGCAAGAGATAGAGAGAGCGAGACCGAGAGAGAGGTATGCTCTCTTGCCGGCCCCCTGATTTTGAGCGTTCACATACAAAGCTTGCCAGGACAAACATGGCTGCCGCCTGCTGGGCGAAAAATATTGGCAAAATGTCAAAAACAGGTGAAGTACAGAAGAGACATTTTGGGAAGTCAGTTATGGGAACTGTAAAATGCGCTACAAAACTTTTCAAAGGTATTTATTAAATACATATATACATTTCTTGACAACGTCTGCACATATTTTATGTAAGTAACATATTCATATACATTTTCAATAGTTCACAACGGAGCATATGGCAACAGATCTATTATAAACTGATTAATAAATATATATTGTATACGAGATACGAATCCGTGGAATATCTAGCTCATTTTCGTTCTTAAGGTTTATTTTCTCAAGACTTACCACAGAATAATACAAATACAAATTAAATAAACTAGTGAAAATAAAACAACATATAATATATGAGATTTTTGTTTATTTACCTTTGCTTTAAGATATATAAACATTTTAAAACCAAGACAAAATTTACGTCAACAATAGCTTATGATTCTCGAATATAATATTAACTAAAGCGCTGTATTAATTGATAAAGCTGAGAAACTTTTTTTTAAAACCGTTTATAATTCACGAACAAATATGCCTTAATATTTTCTCACAGCCTCCGCTGGCAGCACTTTTGCGCGAAATCACCCTGTACTACTTGACAAGCTCCGCCCTCTAGAATCCAGGCGAATAGTTGCAAGGATACTTAGGGGTTGATGAGACTGTGGTATTTCCAATTGGACCGGCGATGCTATAAAAGACGCAGAATTCCCAGGAGATGTTGTCATTATACATTCAGACTTATTGGACATCGCAAGCGTAGCAATTGGAATATTTTAAAATATAAAGTTATACAAATTGTAAGGAAAAACAGAAAAATGTCGCGCCATCAATTACCAGATTCGTCCTCATCGCCCCCCATAAGGTGAGAAGTAGTGATAATATCGAAAATCTTGAGAAATCTCTGCAAAAAAAGCAAACACATTCCATAAACTCAATTGTTAATTATAAAAAATGTTGAGTCTTACAAAGTTTGAGAAAACCTTACAAGCCTCCAAAAATTATTTCCGACGGCAATTGATTTCCCACTAAATATCATAAACTTCCCCAACAGCCATATACCCTACCATAACTTTGACGATGATCTAATCACTGAGCTGCCCTCTTGCATCTATGCGGGTCAACATCAGAGTGGTGTCGGTGGTGCCGGTGCAGCTGGTGGCATCACGACTGGCGGCTCAGGTTTGCGTCTCAGTTCCAACAACTTGCGGCACATTCAACAGCATTATTTACAGCAGGGCAATGGTAAGTCAGCAAATAATATAAATAAATTCGAATTTTCGAATTATAAATTCCCTTAGAGACATTTAATTGCTGTACCATGAAGTAATCCGCTCAAGTGGCTTATATAAGCTTATATAATCTTTGACCATATGTTCCTAGAGGAGCAATAAAATACCGTTTTTCTTTGATCTCAGAAAATATGCTGGACTCATCCACTAATACCAATACGCTGGTAACGTTAAATTCCAATAACACCACGCCCATGATGTGCAATAGTCCAACTGCTAGCAGCAGCGGCGGCGGCGGTGGCGGTGCAGGTGGTTCAGGTCCTAGCTCGGGACCAGGAACCTCGAGTGCTAGTTATGGTGCAGCGGCCGCATCCAGTTACAAAATCCAACGGCAACAGGCAAATGTGCGGGAAAGGAAACGCATCCAGAGGTCCGCACCAACTGGGTACACTAAATGGTCTTTTCCATTGCACACTTAGCTATGCCCTGCACTTTCTCGAACTGGCCACTAATGAGCTTTTCTTTCTCTCTCTCTCTCTCTCTCTCTCTTTGTCTCTCTCTCTTTTTGTATCTTGCGCTCTGCAGTAGTATCAATTCAGCCTTTGACGAGCTGCGGGTCCACGTACCCACATTTCCGTACGAGAAGCGTCTGAGCAAGATCGATACCCTACGCCTGGCCATTGCATACATATCCCTGCTGCGCGAGGTGCTGCAAACAGACTACGATCCTCTGACCTATGTGGAGAAGTGTCTGCGTGGTGAGATTAAAGCAGATCGCGCCAATTGGAACACAAGCGATTTGACGGCACGTCTCTCCTGGATCAATTGGGAGAATCTGGGCGTGCATCCTGGACGTCGCACTCTGCTCACATCCCTTGCATTGTCCTCGGAACCAATGTGCGGTGCACACTGCGGCATGCCATAAGCCTATTCCAGCTCAACTCAGTTGCTCCTGGTTAGGGAAAAGAAATCCTTTGTTTTTGAATGCTAGCAGGGGATATTTTAAATATTCAAACTAGCAGTCTACTTTAAAATTATTAAAATTATTTATAGCATAAAAATCAACAAAAAACATATACTTTGTGACGTTTAACAAAGTCTACAGTTCCCGAGAGAGACTCTTTTAATCGGGAATTCCCAACTAGGGGAGCCTGAAACCCCTTCTACCTACAACAAATGCAGTTCGCGTCACGCGCTCATTTGCTTTAGCAGTGTTAAAAATAAATGAAACAAAAAATTAGTTCCTTCGATGGGAATCGAACATTTAACAAACCACACTACTTGGCTCAACCGTCACACCACCAATCGACCCTTACTGAGAAAAAAACGAATTAAAATAGCAACACATACACACAGCACAGATCAAAGTCAATAAAGAACCGCCCAAATATGTGTGTGTTCATGTATGCAGAAATTCCTGCGCTGTGCTTCTTCATGATAAATTTAACAGTTGATATTTCTGTGCTATAGAATGTTTGTATATTCTCAAAATGACAATTGCCTTAAAATTGCGGCTATATAAAATGAATGATACTTGATATATATAATATTCTAGAAGCTACATGACCAGAGTTTGGTGACTCTAGCTATTATAACTTAAGAGATTTGCTCGAAAAGTAAGATTTTGATATCGATTAGTATCGATTACTTGTAAATGGGCAAGTTATCGATCATCGAAAACAAACAACTACTGCGCCTGTAGTAGGCGGACATGCTCAACATTTCTGAAATCCTTGCGTTTATACATATGGCCAGACTTCCTTCTGCCTGTTACACTAGCACAAATACATTTTACAGTAAGTCCTCCACTTCAAATATTGGTCTCCAAAAAGTATGCTATGGTACTCGTATAAGAATTGATTGAACCAGATCCAATTAGACAATTGATCACACAAAAATTTAACATATCCTGTCTGTCTTCCCTAAAATATTAGTGAATATATACTTGCATTTATCTTATAAGTAATCATGATATTAATGAAAGACAATTTAATTTTCTAACAAATAGCAGTAATATTTATTTCAAAAGCATTTTAGTTGCACTAATCAAACAACACTGTAGCATTTTTTTAAGTTTGTATTTGTTCGCTGGTTCGTTAGATTTTGCCTAAAAGGCAGACATACGCGATGTATGTGTTAACAAATCAATTCCTCAAACTATATATCAGCACATATGTATATAAATATATATATATATTTAGTATCAGTGTAGACAGTGAGTATTTCAAACTATAAATACAAACGTACGTAATAGTAAATAGTTATGGTAATTTCTTTCTTGTTTGTTTGTTTGTACATAGCGATCAACTAACAGGCATTTGCAATTTGCCGTTTAACAATTTAAAAGCATTTTAAAAAATACATGTATATCTAGAAGTTTCCTAAAACACACACAGCGGCATATAAAGGTAATATACTACAAAATAAATACTAATATTTTTGATCAACAAGAAAATAAAGAACGTAAGCGTATGAAATTTACAGTCATACATAAAAGATACTTGTGTATGTGACGTTTATCCAGGCGATATACTCTAGATCTATGCGTTATCAATTAAATTTTTTTTTTTGGCAACAACTACAACTACTGCTAATGCACGCGCACACAAGTACATGCATAAATTGTACAAATGTGTGCATGCAATTAAATTTGTTTATTTTTCGAATTGGAATTTGACTTTGGTATCATATTTAGTTTTGCTTCGAATAATACTCAAAATTGGTTGGCTACAATGAGGCTATACACAAATACACATAAAATGGTACATACAAATACCCATTGGACACATTTAAGCTACATCTCTAATAATTGAATTTTACGATTGCTTTCTTGTTTTTGTTTTGGTTTTTTGTGGGCCGTTTTTTTTTTTGTTTCGTTTGTTATTTTTTTTTTCTTCGATTTTTTGTTGATTAGTTGCTTAGTTCCCATTTAGCACAGCTACTTTGCGCAAGCTTTCGAGCTCGCTGCGTTTCAAACGCAACGAAAACATGGCCTCAATAAAGCTATGGCAGTCGGTGACTATGCTATCCTGAATCATAGTGTCGCGAAAAAGATTTGCCAGTGCCGCAATATCCTCGCAGCCCAGTATGGCCCTCTTGTGAGTTATAAACATGGCCAGAGCTGCACGAAATACAATCTGTAAAATGCATTTTTATTGATTAAATTGCAAGTGTGTAATTTAATTACTTGCCTTGGAACCCTCCGCGAAAACGCAATCCCATATTCGCAGCACAGTTTCCACAGGCAGAACCTCCGCAAATATGCAAATGAACCATTTGCTAGCTATCACCGCGTAGGGCAAGCCTGTAACATCAAAAAGAACGTTTTATTGTGGAACTTTGAATTTTTAAAGATGATCCAAACTCACCCAGGTCTTCCACATGTCGATTAACAGCTGGCAGACGCCTTATGACCAACTCCCTAAACACGGCCAAATCACGCAACAGATTGGCCATGTTATGTGAGTGATACTGGGGAACGATTTTCTCAACGATATGCTTTAGCAGCCAGAAGGACTTCTCTTCATCATCCGTGACAATGAGCAACAGACCAGCTATATAATTCAGACCCTGGCAATAGCCAACATCGCGATTATGGTGTGCATAGGCGCAGAGTATATTGAAGAGGCGCGCCTTTTTGGAATCAAAATGGATATTGTCGGGAAAAGTACGAGGTAGATCGATTGATATGGAATCGCTAATTTCCTTATTGAAATGTTCGATATTTAATAAACTACGATATAGATTGGGATTTCGTTGCTTTGCCTCATCGGCGCCAGTGATTTTCATCCAAACATCCGCACGATATGGACCTGGTATGCCCTTGCGTATATATCGCTTTATCTTTGGACTGATCACGCTGAGATCTGGATTCTGTTGCAGTATAGCCTCCCATTTGATGCGTCGCCGCGTCAATGTCTTTAAGTAATTATCCATAAACGTTCCGTAGTTCTTATAGTCGAACTTCTCGCCACGCTTGAAGCCGTACTCGTCCACATCGCTGTGTATAAGTGAATTTATACAATTTTATTTGTAGCCATCATTTGATATAAATAACGAAAATATTTATATGGGCGTCACCAACGCTTGGCGAAGACCGGATATCATAGGGGCATAGTTGTTAACTCTTACCTAAACTTGGAACCTGCGGCCGCTTCCATATGAACTATGACTAGTTTATTGCTCAGTTGCTCAAATTAAACTCTAAATACTTGACGGGCTTAGCCCGTTAGTCAGATATTGTTGTTGTTGTCGTTGTTTCTCAATTGTTCTTCTTGGTTCATGGCCCCCATTAATTGCTTTTTGAAATTGTGCGCACGTTCGCCGCTTCCGCTTTATGTTGCTGCTGCTGCTCTCTCTGCTGTTACAGCATTACAAATTTAACTGCAAAAATTAATAAAAAAATCAACACCGATAGTTTGTCTATTGACGGCCTAATTTATTTATAAATGCCCATGTCACCTACTTTTTACTGTATGTGTCCTTGAGAATTTGCTATTATGCGCGCTAAGCACCCACGGTTGCTATTGTTGTTTTTGTTCTGCTGTTGTTGTTGTTTTTGTACGCGTTCTTAGCGCGCCTCGAGCACTGATAACATTACAAGCAGCAGTGGGTGGCAGGTGTAGGGAAATTTTTGTCACACGCTTTACGTTCCGACTTTCACTCTGTTTGCACTGCGTTATTGCGGTTGGGTGTATTTTGAATGCTTGATAACTTGTTTGTTGTTGTCTGCTTCGAATTTCCAATGGTTTTATTTATGTTTTTTCCTTTTCTGTGCATTTTTTATAATTCGATCACAAGCAAATGTTAATGTTATGTTGACGAATGTTAATGGCTCAGCATTAAAACTTTGTCAGAATGCTTATGGCTATAAGTGCTGGCACTCACCTGCTGGCGTCAAATTGACTACATCCTGGACTTTGGTGCCATAATTCAACCAAATTGTATATAAATTATTTCATCTTATCTCAACTTTGTTTTCCTCGCGAGTTTCGAGACTAGGTAACAGCAAAAGTCTCTTCTTCTTCCATTCATATATGGTAACTCTAATAATAACAGCAATGCAAACCGACGACAACATTAACATATGCTGTTATTAACAGTGAATATTTAGTAATTACTGCAGTAATAGCCGGTTATCGTATCATGAATAAATTGCAAAATTCGATCCAAAATAATGTTATAATTTTATTCAATTACTAAATTATAGAATTGCGGTAATTTTGGTATTTATTTAATTTAATTTAAACGAACCTGTTTGCCTCAGCGTTGCCAGATGCAGTCAATCGCCAAACAGCTGTGCAACTGCCGACATTATGCCGTGGTCAAGCAATCGTACCGTGCCGCTGACACATTACGCAATGTATCAAACAAACTGAGGTAAAAAGCATACAATTTTGTCAAAATACAAATTTCAGTCACATAAATAACGATAAATTTACAGACGCATCGATAAGTTCATATATAGGCTAACTTCAAACAAAAGAATGCTGCGCAAAGCATCGATGATAGCCGCCGCCGTGGCTGTCGCGCCGGTTCCAGAAAATCAATCAGCGAACAACTCGCTTGTGTGTAAGCCAAGTGAACTACCCATTTACGGTTCCTTGCGAAAGCCAGTGTAAGTGATTGGTGTGAATCATGATGCTCTTGACTTATTTTCCCTATCTTGTAGGCCAGAAAAACGTTCAGAGCATAAGCCGAAAGATTCTGCGCTGCAAAAGAGTCTAGAGAACAGCGTTCGCTATGTACGCCTGGAAATGCAGAACGGATACAAGGCAGTAGGCGAAAGAACTGCCGTTGTGAGCGAATATTATAATACTGCAAAGAACCATACACAGCGATCCATCGATTTTCTGAACGAGCCCCAGAATTCGATGCATCGCAGTGGCGCCATTGTAATGGGTGGACTCGCTGGTTTTATATTTGCCGCACGTGGCGGATTCTTCAAGAAGGTTGTTTATACGACAATTGGTGCTGGCACCGTCGCATCCCTATGCTATCCACGCCAGGCGGAGGAAAATGTGCGCATTGTCTTGTACGAGGGGCGCAAGATTTTTGCCGTTGCCTACAACTTTATCAAAGGCGTAAAGCCTGGCGAGGAAATACCAATTGAGCCAATCCAAAAGTTCCCCACAACGCTAAAGGAGCTCAAGTTTCTGGCCCTAGACCTGTTCGACGAGGCAAAGGAAACGATCTTCCCAAAAAAGAAGTAAACATAGGCGACATGCAATTACCAGCGATACGAACCGAACGCTCAGATGTGTTATGATTTTAAACAAATTTTACTTTTTTAAACCCACATCATCTATATTTCTGATCTTTATTATTCCTCTGTATAGCATGTAGCAGTTCTCTCTATTGATTCTGTCGGCTGCTGCCTGCAATAAACTCGAGTCGCGTATCAAAAGTGAAATCCAATTTATGTTTCTTACAACTGTGCCAAAATCTTGCGCCAATTTCGTTCCCATTGTTGGTCATTGATTTATTATTCAACTGGTGTCAAATGTCAACTTGGCAAAAGTGAAATTCACTCTGCTGGAAACATGTGATATCGATTTACCGTCAGCCGTACTCATCGCTACGATTGTGCCAATCATTCCCATAACCCTGAGGCTATACATGGTGCTGACTGAAAACTTAATGAATGAGTCGAAATTGCGGCTGCCGTTAGCTGCAATTGTACATCATTTACGCACTTGTCCATTGGGTAGCTGAAGACCACAGAAAGTCGAACTGAATTGAAGATTGTAATAATGATAATGCATAATTGCTCTGTGCTATATTATTGTAATTGTCGCAGCGAGGGCAGATCGATCAGTATTTGTGTCAGTCTAGACAAATGAACGTTTTCTTTTTCTCAATATTTTCAATATATTTATTTGAGCTCATCTTTATAAATAAACTTGTTCTTTGGGCAAGATACAACATTATGATGTTTGTATGCAATTTGTTTATAAATTATATAGATTTAGTTAATTGTTAATGCCTAGACTAAAATACCAACAACTGCACAATGAGAATGACTTTTCTATTATTTTGTTTTTTCGTTTTTACCACTATATACAAATATCGATGCCATTATATCCTTTAGTACGATTCGAATTATGTTAGACAACTTAAGATCAGCCTACAAACAATTTTCGCTAGACTAACTTAGTGGGTTTGACTAAGTGTGTGGGGAAGTGGCGAATTTCGCACAAGTTCGGTCGATGCAAATTGTTAAATTGAAGCTAACTAAGCTTAAGATTCCTTTAAATTAAAATCACACAAACTTAAATATAGACAACTAATAAATTAAAACAATAACAAGAGTTGAGCATGCACGATGTAAACGATGCACGATAATTATCATCTGACATGCTCCAGTATCCAGGGCACAAACTTCGAGATGCGCGTACAGACGCCCGGCAAATTGGCCTCGGCGCATCCAATGCCCCAGGAAATGATGCCAGCTAGAAAGAAGCGGCCATCCTGGGATTTGGCCTGCAATTTTGAAGAATAGCCTGAGACCACTCACAATTTATGATTAACATGGGATTTGATTACCTGCAAGGGGCCACCTGAGTCGCCTTGGCAGGAGTCCTGGCCGCCCGTTTCATAGCCAGCGCATAGAAAGATATCTGGTATGAATTCCTGGCGACCGGCGCGCAGAAACATGGACTTGCAATTGTCATTGCTTACAATGGGCACTGACACCTAATGAATGAGCAGATGTGAGAGTGCGTGCGTGTGTTTGTGCTAACTCCACTTACCTCCTGCAGCACCGAGGGCAGCGTACCGCCCTCGCTGAGGCGACCCCAGCCGGTGACCGTGGCATTCATGCCAATCAGCAGACTCTCCGTTTCGGGCAGGCAAATGGGACTGACATGCGGCGCAAATTCGAGCGGCTGCTCCAGCTTCACCAACGCCAGATCGTATTCGTACGTAAAGAAATTGTACTTCGGATGCACCACCTTCTTGGCCACGCCGCGCTCTATGTAAGGCAACTGCTCCTGCACATGTGAGAAATCGTATTCGCCCACGCGTATGCGTATCTGCGATATGAGCAGACTGCAAATAGAGACAGAGAAAGTGAAGAAGAGAGGGAGAGCGTGTGAGGGCTCAGTTGTAGCGGAAATTGCAGTCAGTTGTATGCGGTTGCTACTCACTCGTCCACACAGTGCCCCGCCGTTGCTATCCAGTTCTCGTTGATCAAAGCGCCACCGCAGCGATGGGTGCTGGAGAAGCCAAAGAACGAGGTGCGTCGCACAGACACCTGCCAGGGCCAACGACCGAATGCCGCACTCTTGCCGCCCACAATGCGCGTCTCTGGACGCGTCAGCATCGGTACTCCGCATTCTGCATATGTATAGGTATGTGCAACAACAAGTTAGATTGTGTCAAATGCATTGGGCGTGGCTGTACTTCCAACTTACCGCTTCGTGCAGCCGAAATGGTCTTCACGTGGCCCAGCATGGCTGTGCCGGCATCATGTGTGGAGGAGTCCGTTATCTCATTGGATTCAATACCCGCCGTTGCCGGCTGCTGTACTATAGGCTGCCGTGTGGGCTGCTGTGCTGTTGGACTGGTCGAGGTTGATGCCACAGCTGGTGCTCCTGCTGCTGCTGATGCTGTTCCGGCCGTTACTGTCGTGGATGTGGATGTTGTAGTCGTGCCCGTTGTGGTGGGCCTCTGGTAGGGCTTTGTGGGTTTCCTAGTGGTTGTTGTTGTTGTGGTCGTTGTTGCTTTTGTGGTAGTTGTACCCTTCGTTGTTGTTGTTGTTGTCGCCGTTGATGAGGAGGACGTGGCTAATGATGTGCCGGGCGACAGCTGGAAGGTAGCCAAAAGTGGTAAACATTATGCTAATAGTTACCCAAGGAGCTTAAAATATTTCACATGCAAAGAATCAATTTTTCATTCCACTGCTAAGTCTCTGCGGAGGCCACCATAATGTGAATCATGCAAGTCGACGTTTAAATACCCTTTCGATAAATTAATACAAATATGTACTTATGCAATTTTGCAGAGGGGTCTCCATTAAGTTTCAATATGATTTTAATTATTTTTTTAAATTATTTCAGAATGATTATTCATAATCGCTGTATTATATTTTTTTGTTTAAGTATAAGAGGGTTTCTCAATCAAATTAGTTTAAGCACTCATTTGATACCCTAATCCTTTCCAGCAAGGGCACAACAACACACCCCAGAGTCGAACCTCTTGACTACGTCAGCAGCGTCGCCAGACAAATCTTACATCAGCTTTGTGCAAACAATAAAATGTCCCCCAAGGCTGTGGCTTGCCACGGCCCTAGTCAGAGCATCGCAGAGCATCAGGGAGTCCGAGCTGATCGAGGAGTAAATGACCTCGTCGCTCGTTTGTTTCGTTTTCGACATCAATGCATCACACACACAGAGAGTGCGGCACAGAATGAAGAATTGTGGCAAGCAGACCGAGAGATGGACGACGCGTATTTACATACCTGAGGCCTGGTCGGCATGGGTTTGGGCTTGGGTTTCGGACTCGTCTGTCCTGGCAGCATCATTGTCGTTGACGACGACGTCGTCAGCAGCGGCGTTGGCGGTGGCCGCTCGTAGACAATCGGCTTCTTTGTGGGTTTTGGCGGCTTTGAGGGGCGCATGGGCGCTGGCAAATTGACGATGCCAGGCTTGGTCCAGCCGGTGGGTCGCGGCTTGGTAATAAAGCTTGGCTCAGTGGTCATGTGCCAGTGATGGTGCTGTGGCTGTTGCTGCAACGTCTGCTGGTGCGTTGATGTATGCCAAATACTATCTGTTGGTGTAATTATTATTTGTTATGAGTCCATAAGTCTCTCATAACAATGCAAGAGGCGCCATTCTATACTCACTCGAACTGCTCGTTGCCTGGCTAGCCGCACTCTGCAAATCTGGCGGCGTCGTCGGCTTCGGATGCGGCCTGGATAGAGTGCCCTGATGTACCGGACCCGAAGGACGAATAACCAGTGTTCCTGCACCATGAGGACGCTCTATAGTTGTCATACCGCTGCATATAAACAACAAAGATTTGCTATTATCTGAGGATTTACTTGTAGATGTAGATACAAGTTGATATTAAATTTATTGTTTTTAATCAAATATTTATTTAAATATCCTAACAATTTTTGCCAGCAAATATTGAATTTTGTGAAAGCCGTTGGTGTTGATGTAGCCTTGTCCGTCGACCGTCCGCATACCTGTCTATCTATGTGTTTCTAGGCAAACTTGTCTCTTGGTTATGAAGCTATTGTCTCGAAACATTGCATACTTCCTTTTGTTGCAGACAGTACATATGACGAAACCGACCGGATCTAACCGCTATATTAGATAGCTGCCATTGGAGCAATTGGTCGAAAAGTTGGTTCTTTTATGGAAAACGTTTATTGTCTGGATCAAGCTTTGCATTTATTAGTTTCACTGTGTTCCTCACACAGATCCACAATCTGTAATATCGGACCGCTTTTTCAAATAGCTTCCTTAGAAATAGCTCCTTTTATATTATAGCTCTATAGCAAGAAACGAAGATACTCAGCATTTACGAGTTTCACTTTTCTTATATATCTGAATGTATCATTACTTTCTTGTTTTGTATTAAAGTTGCAATTCCTAAAATTTAAAAATATTTGTTTTCCCTAGTTACACTAAATTGTTTTATAAGTGCGAATTACGTACTACAGTCCTAGAGTTTGGAGTTTTCAAGTTAATATTTCATTAAAATCTAGAGCAAAAACGAATCCAATTTTTACCGTCCATAATTTCTTACTTTTATATTGGCCACTTTCTAAACGTGTACCTTTTGGAGGTACACGTTATTAGTGGAGAAATTAATTTGGAAAACTCTCAAACCAATAATATGTAAATTTCAAAGAAAATGTGTTAGAGCTGCCTTTGTGTACCCACCTGATTAGCGGCTTGTGCGGCTGTGGTGGCGGTCGCGGCCGCAGTGACAGGGGCTTGGTGGGTCGCGTGTAGGAGAAGGCGGTGTGTGGCAATACGATGTTGTCGGTATAGTTGTGGGCACAGCAGGAGCCAAACATGAACGAGTCAACGCACATGCCCACGTGCTGGCCTTCGGATTTAATGCACTCCCAGACGAACATGCAGGTGCCCTCAATGCGTCCAAAGGAGCACGGCTTGGGGCTTATCTTGAAATTGTGGCTGCGCTGTAGATCTGCTGGCGTATAGTAGCCATCCAGTCGATGGGGACTGCGATAGAAACTGGGCAAGGATGTGCTGTCATCCTCATTTGTGGACTCGTAATCATAGCTGTTGCTGCCGACGTTCCCCCTGCTACTGCCTGGTGGTGTGATAAGCGCCGCCGTCGCTAAGGCAAGGCAATTGACTAAGATTAAGCCTACTAATAATACTTCTACTATTTGGTGTCTGCTCCTCGCTGGTATCGCTGCAGTTGCTCTGTTGACTAGCCAACGCTGTTTGGGCCACATCTTCGGGGCTGCGGTTCTGCCAAAAAAGAAAACAACAGGGCAATTTAGCATTAGACATGTTACCTGCCGGAACTACACTAGAGTAGTGCACATAACACTGGCCATGTTGCAGATGACCCCCCCCCCCGCCCCTTTCGCCCCCTCCCCACCGTTTTCCTCTTTTCCTTCTGATCCCTACTAATTAAGTGCACTTGTCGCATGTTGGGCACTCCAAGCAACTGCAACAACAACAAAAACGACCACAGCAACTACAACTAAAAAACGGGCACGTCGCCTCAGCGATTTCTACTCTTTATGATTGCCAGCTGTGGTGTGCTGTGCTTGTTGTTGTTGCAGTCACAGTTGTTGCAGTTTTTGCTAGACTGCAACACCAGCCAGTGACTGGTTTAATTACAACTTTTCACTTTTGCCTCATAATCAGTTTTTTGTTTTGGCACAACGCGAACAACAAATAGAGTAGCAAAAAAAAAAAAAAAAAAAATTTATTGTGATCGCACGAATATATGTTTTACAACCGACGACACATGCTACAATTAATAATTTTATCTTGTGGCAAGTAAAAGCGACTGAAGTCAGACGTCAGACGTGCATCCCCCAGCCAGGCCAAGAGCTCATCAAAGCGGAATCATTTTGAAATTTTAATTAAAAGTTTACTCAATTCCACACAGAGCGCACGCCATCAAATTAGATGTGTGCGTCTCGGCTGATGCTCCACGCGCAGCCACCCACAAATACAACTATAATAATCATATTACAACCACTCATATTGTTACCCAAACTGGTAGCATAGATTGCCTCCACCACCCCCACCTCAACCCCAGTCCCTGGTTGACAACTTACCTGTGTCTGTATCTGATTAAAGTTGTTTGCTTCATCGGTAACGTGCCGGGCGCATGTCTGGAGTCATGGAGTAGAGTGAAGAAGAAGCCAAGGTTTGTTATTAGCTTATTTTTTCTACGTTTTTGATTTTTCATTAGTTTTTTTTTTTTTTTGCTCTCGGATGTAGAGTGGAATATTGTAGGGCTATAATAAATGGATAACTATAAGTATATAATTCTATATGACTGGTCATGCATGCAGTGCAAGAGCTGCACTTGGCCCTGGTTCCACGCCCACCCACCAATACAAAGCCTACCAAAGTGGTCCACGCAATTTCAAGTTTTAATCGTATAAAGATTGCGGCAATATTGCAGATTGTAGTCGATGGAGAATGCAATTGATATGAAACATCTTTTAATGCCCAATCGCTATATATAAAATTGTTTGGGCCAACTGACTGATTGGTGATCAGCGCACAGCTCAAGACAAAAAATCTAGGATTATGTGATAAAGGTGCACGTTAAGAAGGGGTTTCGGAAAATTCCAACCGCAAGGCCAAGGGCAAGGCCGGGGTATACCCCCGAGTACTATAATAACCCAAATATGGCTTACGAAACCTTGTGGTAAAGCGGATACTAAAGATAATACTTACAGTAATTATTTATAGGGTTTACTATAAGTATGAGTACACACAAAATACATATCTTAAAGCTGCACTCAACTTTAGTAAAATCGCCATGAATGGCTCTAATATAGCGAAGCGTATATTGGGATAATCATGAAAATTATGAAAATGAAGCCATGAAAACCGCGCAGAGTAGCAATTCGCATTTAAGTACAAAAGTGGTGGACAAAAGGACATAAGTCTACAAATATAACTAATTTATAAAAATTTGGACTTAAAGCAATTTAACCTAACCCCTTCCGACCCGTTAGACCGTTAAAGACCGAAAAATGAGTTTTCTTCGTTCTGTCCCTAAACTTAATATTGACTGAATTACATGAATTACAGGCACTTAACACTGAATGACTCTAAACTTGACCTAGTTTGGTAAAAATATAAACTTGTTATGTATCATGTGTATCCATCAAAATCCGTGTTGAAATCTTTATGATTACTAGCAATTACTGTAAATTGTTTACACACTTGGAAAGGCTTGGATTGATGGTAACGCTTATCGCAAATATGGCCAAAAACCAGTTTATCGGTCTGTCTCATCAATTTAATGCCCGGCATTTACGTTAATGATAATTACAAATCTTTTTGAACTGGAACCCAAATATTTCTGCACGTCATCTGCGCGCAGATATAAACAGCTGTTGATTGAAACTGAAATTGAGATCGAATGACTTTAATTTCAGTATTTGATCTCTCCGAATCTATTTACCAAAAGGCTAACAAACGCTTCCGACTTCCACAACGTCTACTCAATCGATAACAGTTTAAGACGCCAAATGCCAATCGTAATTTTCACTTTAATAACTTTATTTTAAAGACAGGCACCGGGTCGGTCAGTTGGTCGATCGGTCGGCGATGGGAACTGTGGGCTGCCACACGCCAGTTATGAGCCATTGAGCGGCCGAACCGTTCCAAATTAATTTCGTTACGTTTTCATTTCCTCAACAAAATGATCAGTTAAGTTGCTATTGTTTTGCTTATTTTTGTAGTCGTTTTGTTTTTTAGTTTTGTTTTAACAGAGAGACCCGAAAGGTAATTACCCCGTTTAAGCCGCTGAGAAGGAGAAGCGGCAGCCGTAGCAAAAGTAATCTCTTGTGCTAATGACTATCTTTTAGAGACCCCATCGAAAAAAGACGGGTAGCCACAGACTGACAAACGATCAGACAGAACCAGACCCCAACCCCGGTGCTAGCCAAGCCAAAGGCCAAATAATTTTGTAGCAAAATCTTTTTTTCCTAGTTTCTTTTTTTTTTTTTCGTTCAACAAAGTATTAGAAAAATGCAGCAACTGACAAACTGAGGAGCCCGGAACAGGCCAACGATTGAGGTATACACTACGTGTGGATCACAGCCGATGTTGCAATAGGCAGCTAGTTGCAAAGTAATTGTAATAAGAATTGCGCAATTTGCGTCAGTCACTTAACTCCAAAGGCGCAGGCGAAGGCGAAGGCTACCAATTCCAGCTTCAGCTTTAGCCGCAGCTGCAGTTGTAGTTGCAGGTTCGATTGGGTCTGGCGTGCTGTAAAGTGTGGAAAAGTCACAGCCCGTTTGGTAAATGGTGGGCTGCCGGGCCAACCTGCCCGGTAGGCGTTTTGTCAATCGACAGACGATCGACAGGCGACGGCTTAGATGACAGGCCGCCCAGGCTAATGAAAAAGATAAACAACTGGATCACACGACCACAACAACAACAACAACAAAACAAAAACAACAGCATTAGCTTTTTACCAGACACGCAGTTGAGCCTCAAGTAAAGTCGGGGCTTCTATCACATACGTTAGATAGCGCATGTCCATCTACAAGTCGACGTCGGCATCGGCATCTTTTGAGCCTCTCTCTTGTTATAATCACAGCGCGTAACGTAAACACAATTTTTGAGTGGCTTCTCCATGTGAAACACACATGGCCAGAGGCCTGATACGACGACGATGACGGCGGCCTCAATTGATCAGAACAGTGAGCAATAGAATCATTGTACCCATAAATTAACATCGATATTGGTTGCAACAAATTATAATCTCGCTAATACTTGATATCTCGGTAAAGACTGATTGGGACAATAGAGGAATAAGACTTCATTCAAAATGTGGAGTTATCATACCAATAAATTTTATTAAATAACTCAAAACTGAAGGAATGCTTGGAATATTTCCATCAGTAATATTAAAACCTAAGCCTAGAGAATAATAAAAAATTATTGAATTGGAAAATTGCATTTATATAGTTGCATTTCTAAATCCATTTCATATAGATTATATTGATTGATTAGATAATTTTGCTTATTTAAATTTGCGTACCAATTGAATTTTCCCATTTCTCAGCTGTCCGTTAACATGTGGCTATCACTGTTTAGCTATCACATGGCGCCTGTTTGTTGAGCTGCAACTTTGAACGCGGCACATTAATCAATTATATGCGTCAACATTAACACACATCACACATACGCAACGTGAGCCCATCAGGGAAGAGAGTCAAACGATGGATGCTTCAACATTGTTGGGCATCGCTTTGCATGCGCTTTCCACTTAAAGAGTGAACCAAAATAAAAGCAACACGTTTTCAAGCTGTTAGGTGTCATAGTCTGGGCCACATGCATAAATCACTTGGCTGGCGAGTGTCTCTGGTTTATTAACCTGGCTCGGCTAATGGCCGGGCCCGTGCTATGCAACCTGACGGCATCGCTGCACTTGAACCTTTGACTGCACCAGTCGTCTCTGGCCCCAAACCCAATGCCCAATGGCCAATGCTCAGGGCCCAGCTATTGCTATTGTTGTTGCTGTTGTTGTTGTTATTGTTGTTGTTGTTGTTGGTTCTTCTTTTGTTTGTCTGTTTGTTTATGTTTGGTTTTCAGCGTTTTTCCTCATTTAGAGCGACCCCAGTGGTACCTTTTGCCTTGTTCCCATTGTCCAAATATTTGCTTTTTTCTATGCCCTGTGCAGAGCAGCATGACGCTGCTGGTTTTAAGGTCGAGCTCTACGGCTTCTTATAATTTCATTTTGCCCCCAAACCGTAGGCAACATAATTAATATGGATTTAGTTGTCTGCCCATTTGGTTGTTCTGGCTCTAGCAGCAGGCCCGGCCCAGCTTGATTAGCCTAGCGAGAGCTGTTTATTTATGGCAATCTATTCTAAATAAGTTACTTTATTTTCAATATCATAACGGTCGCACCTGTTTCAATGGACTGCAAATGAAAGACCCTTAAATGAAAGGGCCCCATTTTAATGAGAAATATAAATTTAACTCAAAATCAATCATGTTCATGGGCAACGGAAGTAGCCCAGCCAACACGTGCGACCAAATCATTGACAAGCCGAAAAAAATGAAATAAAAACAGAGCCCAGCAACCGTCACCATCGTCATCGTAACCGTTGCCCAGATCTTCTCATACCGGCCACTTGGCATTTATAAACGTTAAGAGTTAAGTAAAATAAAATCGTGCGGCAATCACTTTTCATTATTGAATGCTCCAAAAAATCGAACAATGGGACTCGAGCCTCTATTCGTGAGTGCGACTATTTGACAGATTGAAAGTGAAAATCTTCAAAATAGACGTCTTTAAATGCTTGTAATGAACATTCAGACCAGGGAGAGGTTTTGTCGTTAATTTGCATGAAATGCACGTTGCTGCCGTGCCCACAGCCAAAGCTCGAGCACGCCCCGAGCGTTTGGCTACCCATTACCTATCATCCACTACCCCGTTCCAGTTTCACTGGGTCAATCAGCATTCACTTGTCTCATTTTCAGTCAGTAAATTGAATAGGGCTCACAGCAAAGACAGCCACTTCAGACGAACAGCCAGCTCGAGTTGATCAGATGTTGAGTTACCTATTGCATGGGGTAAAATAATTCGATTCACATTCTATTCTTAACTGCCTGTGTGAATTTAGGAATTTGAACTATGTCACACAATTTTGCAGGCGTCATAATAAACAACTCGTCAAATGAATGCAAATTATTATTGGTTTACTGCTAAATGTCGGCCGTTGATAATCACGAGTAGACAGATGCTTGCATGTGGATATACGAGTATTTATTCATTCATTCATTCGTTCATTCAGCAAAACAGGTAATCGTAGCTCGCTCTGCTGTGCGGTCATATTAATTATAGTTTCGTAGTTATACTGTCGACTACGGGTACGAATGTGATGTCATTGCATGTCAATGGCCTGGCTTGACTGATGACACAGCAACAACAGAAACAACAATAACAACAACCGAAGAGAGTTATTATTAATGTTGTTGCTTATAATTCTCAGAGCTACACACTCCCTGAATTGCTTTCCATATTACTTACTAAGTGACTGACCTGTGTAAATTTATAAATTTTAATACAACCAAATTTTTGTAGAGTGAATATGCTTATTTGTTGCAGTCTGGATTTTTATCTTAATGTCATCTACACACCGACACCTTGTCGTAAAAATAGCCTTTATTTAACACTCAATTAATATCCATTAAAAATAGGTATACCAAACGCAGCTCCATTTTTCTTAAGATTCTGCTCCAAAATCGATTTAAAATTCAAGCCTTGAGGCTAGTCGCATTATTCCGAACTTTTTATAATAATAAAAGAGCACAAGGCATCTGAATAATAAGTATCTCTTAGTCCAGCAGCCTCTACAGCAACATTCATGCTTTCTTTTATAGGTGTGACATTGGGAACAAATTTTTTGTTCTTATTTAGCTATTACAAATTTGAAATTTTCATATGATAATTTAGAATAATTTTTTTGGGATTTGGTAAGGTTTGTATTTCTGTAAATTTTATTTAATTTTGAAATTGATCCGTAATTCTTGTGTTGAGAATAACCAAATGTTATGTTTGTTTGTTGTTTTAAAATATTTTTGAATTTTATGCTATATTACGGTTCAAAATATTAATGAATATTCAGCAGCGGCATGCACGTAGCTGTTGGCATAATTTACATATTAATTAGGTCGAGGTTTTGGTATCATAATAGACCTCTCCACTGGTTCTTGGCTTTTCACACCTGTTCCCAGTGGCAGCACAACAACATTGTTATGATATAACTGTGCTAGGTTACATCCAAGGTCTTTCGCCGCAACTGAAGTAATTTCATAATTTTGTCGACAAAAATATTAACGCATTTAACCAATTTTGAGCAAACGAATTTTGACAAATGGAATAATGGTTTTAGAAATTATATAATAAGCCAAAGATGGTCACAGTTGTTGCCTGAGCTGCAATAAGATTCGCCAAAAGCAAACAACACTCACACACGCACTCTGTTGCTGTCTGAATAAGAGCTAAAAATTTCGTTTTACGCGCAAGTGAATTGGAATTGTGTTTTACGAGCGCGCGCCTTGATTGCAATCGTCGTGGGGGAGAACGGTAAGGGTAATGGCAAGGGGCAGAGTTACGGGAGCCACATTGCAACAATTATTCTGCTCGATGACTTTCGCTAATAAAACGACAGACAGGCAGACGGACGACGGAGAGACGGGCACACAAACAGCTAGTGACAGAAGGCAGCCTGCCTGCAGCTAGTAAATGGCACTGACACAACGCGAGAGATGGCTTCAGGTTTTATTATCGTAATACCCAGATAATCGCGGCATATGCCTGGCTTTCGCATTGCACACACGCTTATGCTGATGTATGTGTAATAGTTTATAAACAATTTTATTGCAAAACATCGATGCGGTCGTCGTGCGCTCATACAAATTTTATTTGCAAATTAGAATGTCGCATTGCGTATACGCAACATTTTCCGGCTTTATGACGACGCAGTGAAGCAATCAAATTAAATTTGAGCAACAAAATACGTTTAGAATGTGAAAACGTTTAAAAAATTGATCACATGGTAATTGTGTATTAAAACCCGATTATGTTCATTTCAGCTTAACAGACGCTATGTAAAATAAAGTTTTACAAATTATTGTCAACAAATTGGAATTAAATTTTAATCGACTTACTTTTTAAATTCGCTGTGGGTATAATTAATAGATTTATATTATGAAACTAATTGCTAATTCAATTTAACAGCTGTCACTGGTAATAAAAAAGATAATTTACAACAAATATAGAAAATTTAAATTTTCTAAATTTTCAACAAAAGAATAACAGATCTTAAGCTTTTCTGAGTTTGGACTTACATAGAAAGAAAAAGAAAAGAAAACTTATTTAAAAACTGTATTCTTGGAAAATAATCCGTATCTTTTTAAAGGTATTCTAAATGTAAAATTTATATATCTCTACTTACTAGTCTTTCAATTAAGTGTAGAGCTGCCAGCCATAAATGTTCGTAATTGGATCGTTGCACAGAAATAATAGTTGAATATCTATGAAAACTTTGGACTGCTTAAATACGATCTGATTTTCACTAGTGGCAAAGAACAATGACCTGTTGCTGTAGCTTATCAAATTTGGTTTTCACTGGCTGCCATTTTGGCCACTGCTTTTGTTTACACGCACTCGCACTTTTCTGTGCCGCTCTCCACAGAATTCGTTAATTATTTTCTTTGATCGGCACACTTTCCAACGTTTTCATGGTTAGTAAAACACCAAGACGGCCGATAACTGCGTGTATGATCCAGTAATGATAATAAACTTTTATTTTTTTTAATTTTTGTTTAATTGATTTTCACTCTTCTCTTTCGAATGCAATAAACTTTTGTAAATATTTGTGGGCGAGTTTGTGGGGCAATAACTTCACGATCACGCTAACATTACAATAAAAAATACACCAACACTTTTTCGACTCGGTCTTAATTAATTTCGTTTTAAAACTTTACTTTTATCCCTTTGTTTCTTTTTATCTGGAAATTCGATATTTGTTTTTATTTTATTGCACAATTTTGATTTACGATTAAGGTTTTCCTTTTTATTGTTTTTCACCTTTCCAGCAAAGGTCGGCCTGGCTGTAGTTTTCGCCTTTCTCTGTCGAATTTCTACAAAATAAAGCATAATTATATACGTTATAAGCGAGCCGGGAATTTATGCAAAAAAAATACGATAAGCTTTAAGTTTAGGGTGCAGCCGAAAAAATAACATTCTGTGACCCTATTTAGCGCTAACGTATTTGCATTTCATGTGCTACCAGCTAAATAGAATGGCCAAAAACTCACGGCTACTAAAATTCAAATGACCAAACGAACTAGTTAGTGCGGTAGCTGCTAAAAATGGAGAGGAACATACCGAACTGAGGTGGGCCGAAAGCAGAATTGAATGCTTATCTTGTTATATAAAACACCTCTGCCAAATGGAAATTAAATTCGACTTTACCGTTTGGTAAAATTGCTGAAGGCGACAGCAAATGGGGCTTTCAATAAATAATTATTTGAATGTTTGCGTAAAGTTACAAAATTGGATTAAGCTAAAAATAAATACTAATAACACAAAATTAATAAATTAATTAACACCATATAGTTGCGTTGAGGAATTCAAGTTTCGTTTTTTCCCATACAACTGTAAGTTGTCAAGGGTTACTGTCGGCTAACTATTTAGACTGCCTTTTGTGCTGCATGCATTTGTTTTCTTTTAGTCATCAATTTGACGTTGTGTTTTCTCTTATCTGTGCAACTTGCCAGGCAAGCAAATCATTCCCTTGCACTTACTGCCACAACCAGCTGCAGCTGCAGCCAGCAACCAGCTTCTCATCTCAGCAGCCAAACCACAAACACCACAGATACCACTGTTAGGCGCTGCCAGTGGCTGCTGCTCATTAAACGTACATTTGCACTTCTTTTCGTTTTGCATACAACGAGTACTTGTCAACAATTAACAATTAACTGGCTCAGTTGCTGCTGTCGCTGCTGCTGCTGCTGCTACTGCTGTTGCTGTAACTGCAGCAAGTTCGTTTCCTAAGTCTTTTGTTTGTCGTATGTGCCAAAGTGCTGCCAATTTTTATTGCCAACTTATCGCTTCATCCTGTCTGTGGTTCTCTCAGCGTCTGTTGCGGCCCCACTGTGGTGTCGTGTGTGGTGGTTGTTCCCACTAAAAGTGCTGCTATTCAAATGCTGTCGCTGTTGTACTTCACTTAATGAGAACCGTTAGCCAGGCCCCAAGTTGATTTTCGCAACGCATTCGAAGAACAAACATCAAACTGTTAGTGGATGCTACTCTTTTTATAGCCTAAGCCTTAGCCTTAGTCTTAGTCTTAGTCTTAGTCTCAGTCTTAGTTGTTTAGCCTTTGTTTTGCTTTTTGGTGCGGAGCGTTGAGCGCTATCAAAACTAATTTATATGCAAATGCAGTTCAAGTAGCAGCAACAAAAGACTTCGTCGTCGAGTGCAACGCGAAGACCCGCAGTAACTATTCAATAAATAGACTCAAAGAGACTGCAACTGAGAACAACAGCTTGGGACGCTGGACGGGACAGCTTCTAAGTGGCATTCTTATGCTCTCTCGCTTGCGAAATCTCTCAAACGGTACGACTGGTGCATGTTGTAGAGACACGCCAGCAGCACCAGCTTCAACACTAACACCAATGTGGCATGATTTACCGTAGAGAACAACAAAGAAATTAATTAACTGCACATGTATGGGTGTGCGCACTGTGTGTGTGAGTACATTAGCTTTGCAGTTAAATGCTTTACGAGTAACTCGCCAGCATCTGACCGCAGCAGCACATAGACCAACACCAACACCAGCACCAACTTCAACACCAAGAGCAGCAGCAACACCAATGCCCAGTAGAATCAAGCGTTTGCATTTGACAGTCAGGAGCAGGCCTACTGGCTAGCACAAGTTGCAGCACAGCTGAAAAACTGGCTGCAGCGGGCACCACAATACGAGTATTAACTCACTTTTGCCTGCGTTTTTGTTATTTTTTTTTGTCTTTTTCTTGCAAAGGCGACAGCAACTGCTGCGGCGTCGCCCAATGTTAACAAGTGCCAAGTTGAGTGCAGTGTGCAGCTGTATGCCACAAATGTGAACTAATTAGTGTGCATGTCGCTGACAGAGTTATCGGCATGCAAAATGCAACAAAACTTGTGCAGGTCATTCGCCTGGCCAACCAGACAGATAGACAGACAGACGGACCGACAGACAAACAGATAGACAGCCAACCAGGCAGCCAGTCAGCCAGTCAGCCTGCTTTGCTGTTATCCTTTTTGTCAGCTTTCACGCACAACACTGGGGCTGATAAATTTTATTTCTTAATTAGCAGTTGCTCCAGTTGCCAGACCAATGCAGCGGGGCATTGAGTGTTAATTTCAAAATTTCAACGCGTGCCGCCGCTGCCGCTGATGTTGCTGCTGCTGCTGCTGCTGCAGCCGCAACGTACCATGTTGCAATGCGTTGACAGCGAATGCAATTTGAACTTGATGGCCGGCAACGTGACACGCATATTAAGCAGCCAAAGAGACGGTAGACGGTGCCAGAGGCATAGAGATACAGATACCAGAGCTGGGCTCCGGTTTTGTAATATAGGCGGCACTTTAAATACGCATAAAGCGGCGGCGCATGCGCAATTAGTCGTGATTGAGTCGCAAGTTTATTTAACCGACGAAAAGCAAAAGGCAAAAATCAAAAACGAAAAAAAAAAATAAAGCAACAGATAACAGCAAAATTACCTAAAAGCGAGGAAAACTCTCACTTTTTACTTGCTGATTTCGATGAGTGGATTTTCTGTGTATGTTTTTTTTTGTTTCTTTCGTTTTTTTTTTTTTGCTGTACACTAATTTTGGTTACGTTCAATCGCTGATCACTGATCGCTGATCGCGTGTGGCATTAACTTTTGTCGATCGTTTTCGTGTCAGATATATCTGAAATTTATGCGTCTCTTTGATTGATTATAGCGTCTTGAGACTGGACAACTGGGTCTGTTGCCGCAGGCAACACTGATAAGTGTTATAAAGTTTAGGCACCTTTTAGAAATCAATAAGCAGCAACCAGCCGATGGCAATGTTTGGCGTTGGCAATAGACTTGCGTTCCAATGCGACACAACAGCTGCTACGCGTCGAGCGGGCAAAAAGCGCACAGCCAAAATTCTGCAGGCTCGCAAACGAAACGGTAATCAAAATCAAATCCGAAACCGTATCCGAACCCGATCCGCACTCGTGCGCTGTGTAAACCAAACTGCGGCCGGCAAAGCAGCAGCCAGCGCATAAAACTGCGCCACTTGCCGCTTGCCGTCTCGCCAGATGCCTAAAGAGAGTTGGAGCCGGAGCGCAGCATAAGGCGGCTAAAGAGAGAGGCCAGCGAGCGAGCGCGATTGGCCAAAGAGAGATTTATGACGGACAAGTTTGTGCCTTAAGTCTTTTGTTGAACAGCTGATTGGAAGCCCCCGAGCCAGCAGCAGAAACCACAACATCGCAACTCTTAACTTGCATATTGATAAGTGCGAGAGTACGAGTGTATAAATGTTTACGGTTTGGCGACCTCGACCCCCCAGGCGTGTGATATCTATGTATATAAATTTTAACAACTTTTCTTTTGGCTTGGCCGCGATCCCAGCACTGTTGTCACTGTTGGTCACTTGCCAGTGACCAGTATTTTGCAAGTCCGCCGCATGTGGGTGATTGATGTACAGCCGGAGCAGAGGCTGAGTCTGCGTCTGCGTCTACGTCTGGGTCTAAAGACTGAGACTCAAATTGAAGCCTGAGTCGTACGATTATTTAATCTCCATATTAACGCAAGCCGTATTTGGTCTGTGTGCGGTTTCTTTATTGACTCACTATGTTTTGAAAGTGGGTCAGTGTTAAAGATTTTAATTTTTTGTTGTTGTATTTTTTGGGGGCTTTCTTATGAGTTATCAGTATAACGGTTATATAATATTGATTTGTGCTGAGTGCAACCTATTGTACTGCAATGAATCACAAATTGTTAATTGACGCCCAAAGATTATGAGTGCACAATTTGCATTACAATATTGCAGGTCTGATGTGTCAGATACATGTTTTTTACAGTGTACAATAAGCTAACCATTCCAGATAGTCTGAAAGTGATCGAAACTCCTACAGCTCAACTCTTCTTTGATAAACGATCACTGATCTCTGACAATTGATAGTTTGAACAGTTAAGACGACATTAGTAAAGTTAGCCGCTTTGATCAAATGACGATGAGTATCACCCAATCGATTTATCAATATTGTCAGAGCTTCATATTAACTATTCAAAACCAAATTCTAGCAGCTTGAAAAAAATTAATAGTCGAGCACTTCTAAATCATTCAACAATCATTGCAGTTCAATGAACCGCTAACTTTGAGAACTGCGCTTAGGCAGCTCCACAAACGCAGCTGGTGATAATGAATGTGAGATTGGCAAGTAGAATATTCCTTTACGGCCGACTGCCTCGAGTTAAAGATGGCATATCAAATCAGATCTGGCCAAGCAGTTCACTGACAGAATTCTCAACACCGATTGCAGATAACTTCTGTGGCACTCTGGCATTCATTTCTCAAATGTTCATTTAACACTGTCAATGCACTCCGATCATGAACCGGAGAGACTCAAGTTTAAGGTCAACAAAACATATAAATAAATAAAGAATGAAAAATAAATATATTAAAAGTATTCCAAGAACAATTACTGTGGTATCGCTATTTTTATTCTTATTTAATGGAAAGGATCAGACTAATGGTATTTGCCGTCTGTACGAAATTCGCAAGAAGTTTGCAGAGTATAACAAAATCTACCTACCGAAATTTTGTTTATTTGAAAGCAGCTACCAACGTTCACTTATCGACTTAAGGGCATGTGCACGAGTTTTGCATTTGAACTGTCCATATAATTTAAGGAGGTGCTTAGCTCGTCACTTGTTTGAAGCTGTTAGCGAAATATCGCCAATGAAAAGGAAAGAAAGTGTAAGTCTTTAGCCACACTTTGATTT